TATTTATATATATATATATATATATATATATATATATATATATATATATATATATATATTACATATATTAATATAAATACGATACACGATAGTGGCAGAAATAAAAGCAGGCAGGCTACGCTGCGCAGGACACTTAGAGAGAATGCCAAATGACAGAGGAACGAAGAGGGTGCATCACCAATACCCCAGAGGGAAAAAGGCTCAAAGGCAGACCTAGGCTTAGGTGGATAGATGATGCAGAAAAAAGATCTACAGCAGCTGAAAGTCCAAGCATGGAAAAGAAAGGCATTAGTCAGGTCTGAGTGGAAGGAAGGGGTGAGGCAGGCCAGAGCCCTATATGGGCTGTAGCGCCACAGGGAGGGAGGATATTAATATAAAATGTATGGGCTACGCTTCGACAAGGGGCTCACTTGGCCAACCCTGGAATGACTATCCCGACTCCATTTCTCGCAATATGAAAAAAATAAAGCAAAAAAAAAATGTATGCCATATTTATATATATAAATATTTGTAATTATAGGACACCGATCCTAGTAAGCTCCGACCCTCATGTAACCCCAATCACATTCTGACCCCGATCCCATCACTACCCTTTTTCTCTGTGTGGTCCCGGGTGGAGTGGGGGGTCCCATCCCGTCAGTATCTCGATCCCAGTGGAATCTTGATCCCTTTACCCGATGGGATCGTGTTACCGATAGGTTGCATGTACTGTTGGATCTCGCTCCCCATTAGGACCCTATTCCTCTATTGGATCATGCTCAGTGCGATTTAGTTCTAATAAGCTATTAGATCCCGTTTTAAATCTCCGTAGAACAATACAGAACCTTCTGGAACATTCTTGATTAAATTTAATATCCTCCATGAAACGTGTTAAAAATTACTTTTCTACTTAATTATTTATCATATACGAAATATTATACAACTAAATTGCACTACTATAACTATATTAACTCAATTTAAATTAAAATAGGGGCCCCGGTGGGGCACATTCAATAAAGTACCGCTTTAGTTATGTCTAAGATAGGGGGCCCTATCAAAATCATTCAGATAAATTATAGAGTTAAAATTTAAAATGGGTCCGATTAAAATTGGTTTAAAAATAGCCATATATAAAGCTTTTTAAAGTTATCGAACTTTCTGGAAAATTCTAGATTGGATATTCTTAGTTTTAAATTCACCACAGATATTTCAGAACGGACAATCAAGTGTATTGCTACCAAGCTAGGCATAGCTCCATTAAGTTACAAAGAACATATAGTGTTGTCTAAGCCTATTGATATTTATATAACTTATATAAGGAAAAATGAAATGGGGCCCCCTGCCCCAGATAAATGGATATTATGAGTTCAGTACCCTTCTTTATTTGAATATGTATAATCGAGTGTAAATGTTCTAAGTTTGGTCAAGATCCATAAATTAATGATTTAGTAATTTTATTTATATAGCAGATATAAGGAAAAAAAAGAATTGGGGCCCCCGGCCCAAAACGGAATGTATAAAAAGTTCACAAGCCCTTAATATTTTCTCCCGGATAATGATGGATACATGTGCCAAGTTTGGTCAAGATCCATCAATCCATGTACAAACATAGGTGGAACAAATCCAGCCAGCTACAAACATTTACTTATATATATAATATATATATATATATATATATATATATATATATATATATATATATGATATACTAGCCGATATACCCGGCGTGCCCCGGCATTGCATAGGACCCCATCCCTGTTGGACCCCCGATTCTCGGCGCAGTCCCGTCTCCCGGTGTGATCCCGATCCCAGTGGATCCACTCAAGATTAGGATCCCGATCCCTTAGATCCAACTATATACCCCCTTGTAACAATTTAGAACTTTCTAGAATATTCAAGTTTGAATTTAATAACCTGCTCAAAACCTGTGCCAAATCTACTTTTCTAATTATTTTTAGAATGCAATAAAAATCTTCAACAAATGCCAATATTTTAACCCTTTTTCTTTTAAGTTAATCAACTGGCCGTGGGGGGGGGGGGGGGGGGGGCATTCCATAACTGTAACGATTTAGTTATGCCCGAGATAGGGGGCTCCATAAATATCAGACGGATAAATAAAAGAGTTAAAATTTAAAATTTTTCCCATTATCCGGTGGGATCCTGATCCCGTTGGTGTCTTGATCCAGTGGGATCCCGATGTCCATGGATACCGATGATCTACCAATCCTGTTAGGATACCGTACGCTGTTGGATCCCGTTCCACCTAGGCATTCTCTTTTCCGATGTTATCCCTTTTCCCGATAGGATCCCGAGCCTGGTTTGATCACGTTCGTGGGATCACGATGGGATCGCGTAACCGATGTGTTCCAGATCTCGATCCTTAATAGGATCCTATTCCTCTTTTGGGATCATGCGCAATGCGATTTTGTTCAAATAAGCTTTTCAATTCCATTATATATACCCGTAGAGCATTAAAGAACCTTCTGGAACATTCAAGATTAAATTTAATATCCTGGTGAAAAGTATAAAAAATTACATTTCTAAGTAATTATTTTTCAAATACGAAATATGATACAACTAATTTGCCCGACTATAACTATAGTACATTTAAATCAAAATAGGTGGCCCGGTGGTTGCCCATTTATTAAGCACCTTTTTAGTTATGTCCGAGATGAGGGGCCTTACAAATCTCAGACACATAAATAATAGAGTTAAAATTTAAAATTGGTCCCATTAAAATCTACTTAAAATGCCATAGCTATAGTTTTTTTTTTAAATTATCGAAATTTTTGTAAAAATCTAGAATGGATATTATTAGTTTTTAATCCACCGATATTTCAATACAGACAATGAAGTATGGATACAACGCTAGGCCTACATCCATCAATTCCCATAGAAACTATAGTGTTGTCTAAGCCTATGGATATTTATATAGATTATATAACGAAAAATGAACTGGGGCCGTTGGCCCCAGAAAAACGGATATTATGAATTCAGTACCCTTCTTTTTTTGAATATGGATGATCATGTGTATGTGTACTAAGTTTGATCAAGATCCATCTACTCATGTAGGAGTATTTGTTGTTAATTATTTTTATTAAGCTCATATCAGGTAAAAACGAATTATAAGCCCCCGGCCCCGAACGGAATGTTATAAAAAGCTCATAACCCCTTAAGAGTTCCTTCCGGATAATTATGGATAATGATGGATATATGTGCCGAGTTTCGTCAAGGTCCATCAATCCATGCAAAAGCCTCTGTAGAACAAACAGAGCCACAAACAAACAAAATTTCACCTTTTTATATATATGAAAGGATATGATATTTACCTCTGTTATTAGCTATGCTTTCCAGCTCATTTCATTTCCATTGCTACAATTATTATTTTTAATTTATTAAATGTTTATTATAATATTATGGTGTTGTTGGTTACTATAGGACCATGGAATGACGCCATGGCTTTACTTTGCTGGTAAAATGCCTCAACATTTTCCCGCTTAATAACAAGAACAAACAAATTCAACAATTCGTCCTCTATAATTATAGTTAAAACCTGATGCTTTGGTACAGACCCTTAAAAACCCAATGGTTTTGTACAAATCGAGCCACCGTTATCATGTATAAATAGCTAACAGCAGCTAATAATTATGTTTAGCGCGTAGGTGTCATAGTGTTATCCACCAGACTAGAACGCGGACCCTTCATTACCAGAGGGCTTGGCCTGACATTAAAAGATTAGCTAGATTGGAAGAGGTATACAGTCTGTCCGGGTTGGAGTCTTCATTAACAAAGTAAAGAACGCATACGAACAGGTAACTAACACATGGTGGCCTTACATTTTGTTGCTTCGTATATTTAAAGAAAGTGCTTAGATCATTTTCTGGACTTATTTAAAAATGATTTCAGATTTTTTTTTTTCCATTTAATTTTCACGCTTATTGTTTCTATTTACCACTATTTAACATTATGGATTTTTTTTTTAAACTTAAAGAATAAAATCGCTAGCTCAGAAATTATTTTTATTCACTAGTTTGCTAGTTTAAAGTTAATTAAACAATTTTAAAAAAAACAAAAAAAAAGTACTACATTTTTTTATCTTTACTTTTCAATTGTCTAGAGTTTACTTTTAAAAAAAAAAAGATATTTAATTATTTTTTTTTGAAAAACGAACAAAACATTCCTTTCATTAAAAACTACCTCAGTCATTTTAAAAGAAGTTTCGATTTGCTACACTTCGAGTTGAACAGCAATGGAGATTATCATGATGAAATTGTGCTGCATTCTGGCAATGATGATCCCAATGGTGATGTCCGACTGTAAACTCAATGGCCAGGTGATTCCGAAAAGTTATTTTATTTGAAATATATTATTTAGGAACACTTTTAATTGTTTGTAATATTAGCTTTTCAAATCAATTTATCTTCTTTTTTCTTTTTAAGTTGACTAATAGGATAGGGAAAATACATGAGATAATAACATAATACAATGTAATTGTGTGATAATATTGATTTTCTGAAAACTAAATAACAACTGTTGAAGTTTGTGTGGCCTTTTCAAAACCAATACCGACAAATGGTTTCATCCTATGCTGTTAAAGTGGTAAAATGGGACAATGGTATTAAGATTTAAACTGTATGATAAATGGCTACTTAAAATTACGGCACATTACGATCTTCCGAAATAGGAAAAAAATCAGAGCATGTTGGAAAAATAGAAAGTACAGTAAAAACATTTGCTGATCTAAAGAAAACATGTCATCGTCAGGCTAATTATTCATACTATCCAATTAAAAGTTAAGAAAAACAATTGATTTGTTCATTGTTTTCTTTAAAAAACTGGGTAATAAGCTCATAACCGAATCCCCAGTTTTTTCCTTGCACATTTGTTTATGATTATTCTTAAAAGGGGCGCCTAAGTTAAGCTTTCCCGGGGGCCAGCAACAGTAGGACCGACCCTAACTCAATGATGGCAATGTTACGACTATCTTAAAAACCACACATCGAGTGGGAACAGTGACATGTCAGTTACGGTAATTTAAAACATAATCTTAGTACCAGAAAAAAGGAATTTTTAAAATCTTTTAATTTGTTGAAAACTGCATGTGTTTGTTTGTTGAATAATTCTCTGTTGCTCAACAAAGATTTAAGGTGCTAGTTAAAAACTTCTTTCGGTAAATCTAAACAGTCTCATTACCTTGAAAAGTCTCTTATTTGACTTTTTTTTAGGTGTATAAGAACGGAGATATGGTACCATCACAAGACTGCAACATCTGCACGTGTATTGGTACAGGTATTGCATGCACTGAAGTGTTCTGTCCAAGTGTGACCTGCACTATCAACGGAGTTGTAAGTATAAAAGTTAGATGTTATAAGCATGAAAGTGTACTCGAGCTACTCACATCAATAACGAATACTGTTGGTGGCACAAAGTCAACTTGAACTGCTCAGCTTTAAATTAAAAGGCGTTGACTTACTGATCACTTAACCCTCCGATGCTTCATCTCAATCAAAATTCGCCAAGGGTTAACGATCAATAATGTGGTATTTATAGGGAAGCATTCTAACAAAGCAATAATTGAAAATGACATTACAAGGCACAAATGATTCAAATATTTGATTTTAGAAAAAGGCTGTACTGTAGCGAAAAACCCATGCATTGGAATAATCAACAAAATAAATAATAGCATATAATTGAATGATTTAAATTTTAAAAGGAACTTGGCAAATGTTTAACATTTAATGGAACCCTGAGTCCGCCACCTTCATCTTTTGTACCAAACAAATTGTGCGGTAAATTGAGTCTGGTTTATTAGTATGTATGCAAAGTTAGGGTTGGGGTGGGATAAGGGGCGGGAATGTACGTTGAGTCATCACATGAGAGTTGCCTTTAAAAAAATAATCCTGCCTAAGTAATAAAGAGATCTTTAATTGAATCATTTTATTTACCTCGAGTGTGATTTGTATATATGAGTTATTTACAGATACGTTATTTGAGACGAGTTTTTTTTCCCTCTTGTTTTATAAGTTGTCGCAGAAATAAAGCTAACTTAAGTATATCGATAAATATCATATAAAAAATCGATTACAAAAGTTCAAGTATTTTGAGATTTAAACAATAACGTTTTAAGTTAATATAAAGAGATGCAGTCAGTTGTTTCTCTCTTATTCTTCCAGATCAGTCCCATAATCATATTCTAAAAGTTTTAAAATATCCTTAAAGGTTTACAAGAAAGGTGCCCGAGTACCTGTGGACAGCTGCAACACGTGTACATGCATGGGCTTAGAGAAAATTGTATGTACGGACATGGCGTGCATACCAATCATCAGGCCTCCATCTGCACGCATCTAGACAAGTGTTTCTTTCAGTCATCTCTCCGTGAGAAGGGGCGATAGCCCCCTCCCCACTTCCTTCAGGAGAAAATGTGTAGCCTTCAACAATAAAACAAAACATTAAAAAAAAATCTAAATTGTCATTTTATAACATTTTAATTGTTACCATTCAATCAATAAATTTATTTAACAGTAGATCCAATAAAATATCGCTACGGTGGATAAATTTGATGATGTGAATATTTAAGGCCAGACATTGAAAATTACATTTGGAATATCATCGACGACTTGAGCCGAAGCTCTTGGAAGTCCCCCAGGAATTCCATCTCGCGGAACCCTCCGTCCTTTTACAAAGGAAGGGTTCCGCCAGATAGTCCGCCCCTCCCCCCTCCAAGATGTTTCGCCCTAGTGACGAACCATCCGGCTACCCCAGGAACGCCAAAAGGGGTAGCTCCCAAGGGTTTAAATTACAAAGTAAGGAGTAGATTTCCTTCTTTTGATGACTATGACCTCTTCTGCAATCCCTGGGGAAAATTGGTCCTATATTTTTTTCGGTGCGAATAGGAGGGAATCTTCACTGGTGCCTTGCGAAAATGAATCATAACAGCTACCGACCACACATATCTTAACGTTGTGTACCGTCAAGTGATACTGGGCACACCTGGCCCCTACGTCAAACATCGCATCTCAAGTACTAGCTCGGGAAGGGGTCGAAACGGCTACCAAGGAGACCCGCCCTCGACAGGGGTCGTCATCAATAGCATCTTTGTTATCTATGATCCTTTGACGGCAGCTGTAATCGTGTGCCCTAATCTTAGCTCCTAACTTGTTTATATTTTTATTTATTTATTGCTATTTTGATGACTGTAAACCGTACCCCCAGCTTAATACTTGCATTAGGGGTCAAAAGTGCAGTATATATCAGGAATAAAATGGTATTATAATCTCTGTGAAATTAAATCATCATCGATTTAAAAGTCAATGATTATAATATTTTAAAACAGTTTTTGCTCAATACATGTATTGATGTACATTTAAAAGCAATCGAGTCTTTGACAGTTGAATTAGATAAAAATGAAAACGTTAAAAAAAATAAAAATGGACCGCAATGTAAAATTTCGTGAAGCTAGAACTAATTGGTGGGGTTTTTTTTTTTTTTTTTTTTGGTAAAGGACGTTCTTCGATGCATGTTTTGTCATGTAGATGGAGAGATTACGCATTTCCACCGCCATTGCTTGACAAGTTGTTTACTTTTTTATGATAAAATAGCAGAAATCTTTGTAACGCAAAATATGAGCAAAGAAACACGTTATTGGTGGGGTTTTTTTTTTTTTTTTTGGTAAAGGACGTTCTTCGATGCATGTTTTGTCATGTAGATGGAGAGATTACGCATTTCCACCGCCATTGCTTGACAAGTTGTTTTCTTTTTTATGATAAAATAGCAGAAATCTTTGTAACGCAAAATATGAGCAAAGAAACACGTTCAAAATAACTCTCGGCTGTCGTCTCTCTGATCTTTCAATTTTTCGGCTTATATATAACCTGTTTCTTAGATTCTTCGAGAACAGAATAAGCATTGTAATCGCGTCTCGAAACTTCTAGAATATTCTACAAAATTCCAATCATGATACAGACTATGGGTTTATTAGTGGTAATCGATGTCAAAGGGAGACTATATTTAGTAAGCCACGTCTTAATAGCGCAGCCGAACTGGGTCAGCCTAAGTTCATTCACAAGAAAAATGACAGAGTAATCGGGGCATATAACAGTTAAATTTAACAATCTAATTTGACCAAGTTGATAAGAATGTGGTCTTCAAAAGAAATAGCAAGGAAATAAAGATGAAATCATGTTAACAGAAGAAGAAGAACAAGGAGTGGCGTTAAATGAAGAGTACCAAAGTCGAGAAATTCGACAGGATCAAATCGATCATAAATTAAAATCACATTTAACAAGAAAATCAAAGAGAGATAATATTTAACGAAACTTTTCAAAGCTGCCAGACTTTGTTTAGCAAGACAGGAGTATCTTGAGAAACTCGTGAGAAATCCGGTGGTAGCCTCAGACCCAGATGCCTTGAATATCGTACTAGAGTCACTTCTCTACCATTGGAGAGCTGGCTGCTACAGCATCAATAATATTCTCAGATATCGAGAGAATGACGGACTTACTTTCGCCATGGTTTACGTTTCTTAATGATGACGTCGAAGTCTATTCATTGCAAACAATTCATTTTTATTCAATATTACCTTGCTTGCTTTCGTATATTAATAAAGTAACACATAATGTATCTTTATTTTAGGAAATTTATATAAAAAGATATTTTTGCTTGAACCTACCTAATATTAATTTTTTTTTTTAAACACGTACTATAAGTGTAAAGGCCTACTCAGAAAATCAACATTCCCATTTTAAAATTTAAAAACAAAATGTTGACTTTTAAAATTACTATATAAAATATATATTATTGTATACATGATACTACTTACATGCATACATTGTCTACATGATACTACTTACATACAGACATTGTTTAGATGATTCTACTGAATGTAAAGAAAAGTATTTTTAAACATGATTTTTATTAATATATATTTATTAGGGTTCCTGATATTTTTTACTGCTGAAATAGACAAATCGCTCCAACAGGCAGAAATAAGGCTTCTTTTGATCGAATATTTTGTAGCATAATTTTACTATAATCATTGTTTCCTTTCATCCTAATAGGAACCAATATACAATTAACGTAATTTTTTTTTTTAAATAATGGACATAACAAATATAATTTTGTGTTTTTCCTCTTTTCAAAAATATCTTTTGAGAATTAAGCTAAATTAAATTGTAAAGAATATGTTGTTTTTGATCTTCCTTCGCGTGTTTCTTTCAAGAACATGGAAAATGTCTGCAGCTGTCTTGTTTTCGGCTGTTTATTTTTAGCCCGCGATTTGTTTTCAAGAGCGTTGATATGTTTATTTGTTGGTTGATGTCTAAAAATTCCATTTAAACGATAATCACAAATATTAATCACTTTCTTCTATGCCGTGATATTCTCTAGTGTGCATTATCATCAGTTATGTCCATATATCTCTGTTATAGCTCTTCTTTCCCGCTCATTGTAGTTTTATATGTTTTTGTATCATTAGATTGTGATATTGAGATGTTCTTGATTATTTTACAATAATTGAAGTATGCCATGACTTTACCTTGGTAGTACAATACCCAGCCTCTCTCCCTTAATGACAAGAACAAACAAATTCAACAATCTGTGTTCTGTAATTATAGGTTTCAAAGAACAACAACTGATGTTTAGGTACAGACCCCTTGAAACTCACTTGTTAAGGCAAGTCGGGCCATTGTTATAATTTATAAATAGCTAACAGCAGCTAATAATTGATGTTTATCGCTTAAGGGTCATAGCTTTACCCACCAGGCTAAAACGCGGACCCATCATTACCAGAGGGCTGAATCTGCGATTAAAGGATTAGCTAGATTAGAAGACTTATAGAGTCTGTGCGGATTGGAGCCTTAACTAAAATTGACAAAACAGTGTGAAGAAAGCATACGAACAGGTAACCAGCGTGACCCACTCATTGTAGAGTGGCCTGGTTGTGGTGTCGTATATTTAAGAAAGTGTTTATATCATGTTATGGTCATTTTAATTGTTTCTGTTGTTTTTTGTTCATTTTATTTCCGCGCTCATTTAAAAAATGTATTATCATATAACATTATGGATTTTTTTTTTCACCTTGAAGAATAAACTGTCAAACTTAGAATTTATTTTACTAGCCTGCTGATAAATAATTGTTTAAAGTTAATTTAAAAAAAAAACAAAAAAAAAAAAAAAAAAAAAAAAAAAAAAAAAAAAAAAAAAAAAAAAAAAAAAAAAAAAAAAAAAAAAAAAAAAAAAAAAAAAAAAAAAAACCAACTACATCATTTACCTTCACTTTTCAAATGTCTAGAGTTTAATTTTTCAAAGATATTTAAATTCGTTTATTTAAAAAAAAAAGACATTTTTTCATTAAAAAAAAAAAACAACGACTAGCGCCATCATGTCTAAATTAAGGTTTGATATACCACGTATCTTGACAGCTATGGAGATTATCATCATAATCAATGGTTATGAATACTGTAACTATGATTGTGAGTGTAAAAAATGGAAATTTATTTCTGCAATATAATATAGAGTTAAGACAGACAGCTTCCTTGTTTGAAAACAAGATAGAATTTAAGGAAACTTCTAAACCAAAGGACTTATTCATATTATATTTTACAATAGATTTGGTTGAATATATTTTCTTCCCAACTCGCGTTTTATGCTGATGGGCAACTGAGCTGAACCGTGTTAACAAATATGACTTAAAATGAAAGGTCATTAATTTTTTTCGCAATCTGGTCTGCCCACAATCATCGAATTATTGGTGCACTCATTTGTCGCCGTGCACTGTTTTCTGTGTGCGCAACTTTCGGTGTGCGCATTTTCTTTTGCGCAGCTGTGCATTTGAGGATCTTTCTGTGCGCGTTTATTGTGTGCGCCTTTGTGTTGTGCGCATATTTCTGGTCACAAGTTACCTCGAATATGATGTGCAAATATTAATTTTTTTAGATAGGTTATCTGAGACGAGTATCTCTATTGTTGATAATTTGTCCCACAAATAACGCTAACTAAAGTTTATCAATAAATGTTATCAAGGAAATTCAATTCAAAAGTTCAATTATTTTGAGATTTAAACAATAACTTTTAAAGTAAATAAAAAGAGATGTTGTCAGTTCTTTCTTCTTTCAAATATTCTCAAAGGTTTACACGAAAGGTGACCAAGTACCTATGGACAGTTGCAACACGTGTACCTGCGTGGATGTAGAGAACATTGCTTGTACGAACATGGCGTGCCCGCTAATCACCATCAGCCCTCCATCTAGAACCTTTTCAAGTGTTTCATGCAATCATCTCTCTGTGACTAGGGGCGACTGCCCCCTCCCTGTAGCCTTTACAATAAAGGAAACCATTTTTAAAAAGGCATCTGAATTGTCATTTTTTAAGACATTTTATTTGTTACCTTTCAACCGATATATTTATTGAAATAGTGAAACCAATACAATATCGCTACGATGGATACATTTGATGATCTGAATATTTAAGGCAAGTTAACACAATCAAATTTTCGTAAGATTTACTTTAAATTTGACAAAAATTTGAAGCAAAGTTGACAAAAATCGACAGTTGAGTCAGATAAAAATCAAAACATTAAAAAAATAGGTCCACATAATAAAATTCCCTCAAGCCACAAATGATTGGTCCGTTTAAAAAAAAGTACTTTACTTGAATGCAAGTTTTATCATGTAGATGAAAGTTCACGCATTGCCGTCGTCGCCATTGTTTGGTAGGCTATTTCTATTTTTATCATTAATTAACAGATACATTTGTAATGCAACGTAAAAAACGTTGATAACCGAAGCAAGAAACGAATTAATGTTTATAAAAAAAATGACCGTGTGAAGGCCAAACAAAGTTGTCTTCTTGGGGGGCCTTGAGCTTTATGGCTGTCACTAGTTTTATTTGGAGCTCTGACTCCCAAAATGACATCAGATTTTTCCGGAACAGATCTAGATTTAAGATTTGGTTGAATTTAACAAATATTAGTCATTTCTATATAAGATCATATTTAGAAAATCTTGATGTCATCATTTTTTTTTTTTAAATAGAAAATGTATGTATTTAAATTACTCAAATTATGTGTATAATGTTAAGGTCGGAGAATAAACTTCACTTTGTTCTGTTTTATTAATTAATTATATGCAAGTATTTAGATTGTAACTGATTTCTTTTCTACCTAATTGATATTTTTCAAAGGCTCTCATCCTGATCTGTCTTAAGACAGTACCACTTAGATTCTATTTCTTTGGAAAAAAAAAAAAACACAAAAAAAACTAATTTTCTCTGAGTTTGAAAGAAAGTACACATGTAGCGAATCTTGTGCTAATATTTGGTTACCAAGATGAGTCGTTGTATTTTGCAATGAATGCATAACTTTTCTAGAATGCGAATGGAAGAGAGCCTGTCTGAAATTAAGAGGCCCTTTATTGACTCATATATTATTCTTGTTAAATGTCATGGGATTAGAAAGAGATAAGTTTGACTGATGGCCATACCCTGATTCAACTTCGGTCGTCACGTGACATGTTCCTTCCTCGGGTTTTGTGTCTGGTCCTCCTTTTTTGTGAACTACTAAATCCCCCAGAGGATAAATCTTGCATTTTTGATATTACACAGGACAAAGAGATGGATAAAAGTGATATGACTTCAAAATAACTTCACCAAGTGAACGCTTGCCAAAAATGAATTGAGCCATCTGAACAGGAATCTAAATCTCTCTAAGGACTTTTCTGAATTTCTGGCCTTCAGACTTAAGCAAAAAAAAAAAGTACACGAGCCTGGAATAAATATATACATCGAAGGGGAAGAAAGGATTTGCTGCCATTTATTTTACCAAAGACACACACTTTGTATTAAGCAATGACATCAGAAATCTCACGAAGAACATTTGTGTTCAAGAATAGGCCTATAACACATGTGTGGTATCTTTCTACAGCAGTTCTATACGGAACTGGAAATGTCTTTTTTAAAATAACTGCGTCTAATAGGGTTTGTTACGACCTTTTTTCCTTATGAACCTCTGTGTGTCGAATGCTACGATCTTCTTCACTGCAAAACAGCCACACTTGGCCCACACTTCCTTACAACATAGCCACACTTGGCCCACACTTTACTACAACACAACCACACTTTGTCCACACCTCACTACAACACGACCATTCTTGGTCCACACTTCACTATAACAGAGCCACACTTGGTCCACACTTCACTATAACATGGCCACCCTTGGTCCACACTTCACTATAACACAGCCACACCTGGTCCACACTTCACTATAACACAGCCACACTTTGTCCACACTTCACTACAACACAGCCACACTTGGTCCAAACTTCACTATAACACAGCCACACTTGGTCCACACTTCACTACCACACATCCACACTCGGTCCACACTTCACTATAACACAGCCACACCTGGTCCACACTTCACTACCACACAGCCACACTCGGTCCACACGTCACGAAACACAGCCACACTTGGTCCACACTTCACTATAAAACAGCCACACTTGGTCCACACTTTACTACCACACATCCACACTCGGTCCACACTTCACGAAACACAGTCACACTTTTTCGCACTTCACTATAACACAGCCACACTTGGTCCACACTTCACCACACAACCACACACGGTCGACACGTCACGAAACACAGCCACACTTGGTCCACACTTCACTATAAAACAGCCACACTTGGTCCACACTTCACTATAACACATCCACACTTTGTCCACACTTCACTACCACACATCCACACTCGGTCCACCCTTCACTTTAACACATCCACACTCGGTCCACACTTCACTACCACACAGCCACACTCTGTCCACACTTCACTAAAACAAAGTCACACTTGGTCCACACTTGAGAGCAACAACAAGGTTCGATGCAACGATAACTCCATGCAATGAAAACAGCTGAACCACAAGAACTCACCTTGCATCTCCTTGATTGAAACTCCAGAAGTGAAATATCCCCAGAATGAGAATTGACTTCGTTACCGTTAGTACAGAGCTCCTCCAGTCACAACTCGCCCTCAAAAAAAAAAACAACCCCTCATCGTCCCACGATTTGCAACTTTCCATACCGGTACACAAAGAATCCCACACAAAAATCCAGCCATAACATAGTTCAAAACCAAAATAGGTCAATGAATCAGGATTTAAAAAAAAATATATATATGCATATATGGCCATCTCTATAGTATAGTCTTCGAAAAGATAAATTACCAAAAACATCGATAAATGATTTGTGTAGATTTGAAAATGAATCTTTTCTCTTCGCTTGGTGTTATGTCTTATGGGATGTAAATGCCAAAGAAAATGACATGAACATTGGGTAAGAAAAGATTGGCCTCAGACGGGATTATGGTGGCCGGAGGAAAAATGTACGCAATCAAGTCTTAGTAACCCGAGATAGCATCATACTATCTCAAACATATAGAAAGTTAGGCCTACCTGATAAAACATCTGGTAAAGGCTTTGCATTAAGACGGTTTGTGCATTTAGTTCATATCAACCATGCCAGCTGAAGTGAAAGATTTCACCATGACATAATATATCAATGACAAGGAAGATGAATGCACATTTGATAGATATATTTTATTTGAATCTAATGCGGCATAGTCCTGGGTAATCATGCTTTCTTGTTTCAACCAAATTTGAGTAGAATAACATTTTTATTATAAATATGTGATATCGGTATGAAATAAGCACATTTTTATGTAGCTCATTTTTACTTTCATAATTATTATTATACTTGTAGCTAAAAATTAAAATATTCAATATGTCAGAAACTAGAGCAGTTAGGGGGAAATCGGTTCCATCTTTGGAATAAGTGTGCTTAGAAACTATTCTAACATTTGGGGGAATTTATATCTACAGTATGAGAAGCACTTCTGTTGGGCTTTGTATCTGCAGTATGAGAAGCACTTCTGTTGGGCTTTGTATCTGCAGTATGAGAAGCACTTCTGTTGGGCTTTGTATCTGCAGTATGAGAAGCACTTCTGTTGGGCTTTGTATCTGCAGTATGAGAAGCACTTCTGTTGGGCTTTGTATCTGCAGTATGAGAAGCACTTCTGTTGGGCTTTGTATCTGCAGTATGAGAAGCACTTCTGTTGGGCTTTGTATCTGCAGTATGAGAAGCACCTCTGTTGGACCCTGTATTGGCAGTATGAGAAGCCCCTCTAATTTTGATATGGGGTTTTATGGTTCGTCGCGGTTTGGTTGGTGCACCTCCAATAGAAAGAAACAAAATAATAAAGCAGCTTTTCAATCTTCTTCTTCTTCTTTTTAAAGCTGCAATGGTGTTATTCTAAGTAACATTTCACTTTCAGTTTGTGAAAAGCCCTTATTTTGCATTGAGCTTCCTGGTGTGTCAAATATAATCAAAGGTTATCGCCTGCTGGGCGTCGTTTCTCAATGTCGAGGTTACTTTGAGACAACATTACCCCGTGAAACATTGTAAGTAAATCATCTTTATTATGTGTTCGCTTTTAAATTTCACTGTATTTTAAAAGTAGCAAACGACATACCTAACAACTGAACAATGTAAAATTCAAGTATCCCTATATTAGGAGGTTAAATGTAGATATTTTTTTCTTGTGGAAGAGAATTGTGTGTCTTTTTTTAAACTAAAAAAGTCACACTATTTAAATAGTGTTAATCATGATGTAATATTTGATAATAATTAAATTGAAGTGTAATGTAGCAGTTTTAATGTTATAATACCCTGGAATCAATTATTAAAATTTCATCAAATCGAAATTTAATATATATATATATATATATATATATATATATATATATATATATTTGTTTATCAGAAGAGCAGAGTCTAATGAAATGTGTTTCAGTCCGATGTTTATAAATAGACCCCTATATATATATATATATATATATATATATATATATATATATATATTTGTTTATCAGAAGAGCAGAGTCTAATGAAATGTGTTTCAGTCCGATGATTATAAATAGGCCCCTATATATATATAAATCATTGCAATTTCCCCACCAGACATCGTCCTCAGCTATTCCCACCCACCTTCCTTTTGCCAGTTCCCCGGCCCCAATTTTCATACTTCTCCTAATACCCTACGCCCTCCCAGCGTGATTCATGTTTTAACTCCCCTCAAAAGTGTCTACAGCATGTCCCTCTCAAACCCACCCTACCCCTTCTCTTCCAGGACCCCCAAAACTATCCCCTAATCATCTCCCTTAAGCTTTCCCCCACGAACAACCACAGCGTTACAAAGGCCATACTGAAAGTCGATGAGCAAAAGCTTGATTTGTAGAATAAATTACCAATAATATTCCTCTATTATTTTTATTAATTTTTATGGAAGCGTTCCCACAGATGTTCTACAATACTGAGGCAGCCCCTCCCACGTCTGCCCTTGTGGATATCTTGGCTTTGAGGCTCTCTGTCTGTTGCGGCTCCCTGTCTGTTGCGGCTCTCTGTCTGTTGCGGCTCTCTGTCTGTTGCACCGATCGTCCCGACCCCGGCCAAACATAAGGCAAGATATCACGCCCCCATCCCCACCCCGGGCCTGGTTAGCCCGAGGGGATAAGAACAAACGCTGCACTTTGATCTTAGCCAAAAGGCCCAGAAGTTGTGCATGATACTTCTATAAAATTATAGATATATGTCTGGATATAACTGTCAAAATGACAATTTTGCAGATCAGTACGTACGTACAAGCAAATAAGTTTGAGTTTTTGTTCGCGGGTGCTAAAATGATTACTGTTTGGCCTTCAAAAACAATTTAAAACTGTTGTTTAGACCATAGGAAAACACACATTCATGAAGTAGCAAATAATTTATGGTTGGGTGTCACCACAAGATGAGGATATTTATTAAAGGGTTGCGGCATTAGGAAGGTGGAGAACCACTGATTTAAAACATAATAATAAATTTGTCAACACTTTTGTTAAAATGCTTTTTTAAACATTTTAACCACTTTTTTTTTTCTCTTTAGTCTGCGCTGACGATCTCAGAGTGACTAAAAAGCCATCACCCATGGTTAAATCGTCTCTCGCTTGTGGCCTCCAGGCTTGCATAAGTCAAAAGTGGGAGAAAAATGAACACTGGGATATTACTGTAATTGTCGAGCAGGTCGAATTTCACTGCCACCGGTTTATTCTGAGCGCCTGCTCGACTTTCTTTGATGAGCGCTTACGTTCTGAAAACATTCAGAATAGCGTAGTACTGGAAAACATGAGCAAAGACAGTTTCCAAGCTGTGCTCAGTCTCATATACCAAGGCCATGTGAGTCTAACACCCGAGAACGTCCTCCAGGTTTGGGAAGCGGCCCAGTCTTTGGGCATAGCTTATGTGGTAGAAGAGTGCCAAGATTTCGCCATTGAAAACATGGCACTTTCAAATTATGTCAAATTTTATCAGCACGCGAAATCTTTCAATTCGAAAAAGGTCAAGGATTGTGCCAAAAAAATTATGACTGACCATTTTGATCATTTTAAGGAGACAGACCTATTCCTGAAAATGTCCCTCGATAAGATCACGTTGATGGTGGACAATCATCACCTTAAGACGGCGTCTGAAGATTCTGTAATTGACGCGATATTTAGATGGATGGAACATAACTTTTCCGATGAAAGCATATACACTACCGTTGCTCCATTGACCGAGGCCCCAGGTTCACTGGATAATAGCGCCTGCAATTATGACGAGGAAACACTGACCACAAACGATTCTCATCAAATACGGACGCAGGGTAAAGAGCCAGGGGAAACTGAAATTATGGGCCTACATGAGAACAAAAAGAAACATTTAGGCGCTAAAGTCTGTTCAATGAAAAACTTAAAATCTGACCAAATTTTAGCGAATCTACTGAAAGTCGCAAGGCCTTGTTTAGCAAGCCGTGAATGTCTTCAGAAACTCATGAAAAATCCATTGATAACCTCAAATCCAGAAGCTTTGAATACTGTACACGAGTCACTTCTGTTTCACTGGAAGGCTCATTGTTACAGCAGCAATTATATTGTCAGGTATCGAGAATGCAGTGGATTGACTAATGTCATGGTTTTTGGAAATCGTCGTAAAGTCATGCTTTATTCTTTGCAAAAAAACTGTTTTAATGAACTTTTACCTGTTACTGATAGGGATGACATGAAAGAAAAGTTTTTACCATCGGGGATTGCCGCTGTCAGTTATGGTCTTTGTTTTGCTACACATAACAATTTTCATAAGTCATTCGGCACGCATATAATGTTATTTGAGGAAATGGATAACAAGTTGAAGATTTGTTGGCAAAATAGCTGGAGCGTTAAGGGAATCATTTTGGGCCATCAAGATAAGATCTTCTACGTTACCGAAGAAGCTGCTGACTTCACTATGACCATGACGTCTACGAACTGGGCCCCGTGTTTATGTGTCGTGAGGGTAAATGTAAAGTTCCCCTCACTCAGGGCGGCCACGATTTTTGAAGACAATATTTTTATATTTATCTCGTCTGAGAAAAAAAACTAGAATCAAGAGATACAACATAGAAACACGACAGCTCAAGGACCTTCCAGAAATTAAAGGACCAGCTCAAAACATTGCCAGCTTTCAGCGAGAGAGATGTTTGTACGTATTGCAAAATGATGGATCTTTATGGAAGTTTGTTAATTCCACATCTGTGAACGGGAACTTCCATTTTATCAAGAAGTTGTGGAATGTGGAAAAGACTTTAATAGGTGCTGTTATTTTCAATGATCAGCTTTTACTATTTTGTAAAATAGCAGAACCCGAAATTTTATCAAGTAACTCAGACGATTCTGCGGAGGATGACGAGCAACCATATGATCCCACACCTGAGCTTCCCGGGCTGGTAACCGACATACGGTTTATTCAAGTAGAGAGTACAACCACAGCTGTACCTGCCGTTATTCCCACAGCTTGGATTAAAGAAAGCCCACCAGCTTAATTGTCGAACTGCAAGAAGTTTGAATCTCATACTGCTTAACCTTCTCATGGCTGAAGTTATGCTCAAATGAAGGCTATTTCAGTTTAGCTGTTGTCACCATTATCGTTTTAGTACCTTATAAAAAAACAAAACAATGGCACATCTATTTAATTAAATTTTAAAAAAAAATAGAAATCGTTGTGGAAAAGAAAGCTTTACTCTGACAACGGTGTTTGCTATTTAGATTTTAATTGAACATTACTTTTAAATCGTTACTAAATAAATCAGATGTTATCCAAATTGCATAAATTGTGATATTATTTGAATGATATACTGTATAAGTAAGATTCATCGTTTTCATTTAACACAGTAAAAAAAAAAAATGGAGAGTCTAACAGAATAATTTCCATTATTACTTTAAAGGCAAACCAATATTTCATTACCAGTATGTTGAACAGTCTAACAGAATAATTTCCATTATTACTTTAAAGGCAAACCAATATTTCATCACCAGCATGTTGAACAGTCTAACAGAATAATTTACATTATTACTTTATTGGCAAACCAATATTTAATTACTAATATGTTGAACAGTCTAACAAAATAATTTCAATTAATTTATTGGCAAACCAATATTTCATTACCAGTGTGTTTAAATGAAGTAAACTTTTTGTCGATGTTTAAAAATAGGTGATGATTAAATTTTAAATGGAGAAGCTGGTCATTAAAAAGTTAAGCTGCCTGTCTAATAAGAGACTATTTAAATTTTGAAAAGGTACAACTTGAGATGACGATGTAACCCTGGACGTGTAACATTAAAGCCTGTTGTGTGAACTAATTATGTGAGATGAAGCCCTCAGATTTACAACTTGTAAACAGTAACAACAGTAACATTAAAGCCTGTTGTGTGGACTAATTTAGTGAGATGAAGCCCTCAGATTTACAACTTGTAAACAGTAACAACAGTAACATTAACAGATGAGGAACAAAAAAAAAGATTACAAACAATTTTAGACTGATAATATTAATAATAAGACTATTTAAAAACCAATTAAAAAAAAATTACTTGACTCATATTATGCCTTTATCTTGAAACAAAAGATACATTTGTTGGGTTATAATGCCACATTTTGGGTATCATTAATGGATAATTTATTTTGAACTTGATGACATTAAAGTTCCAGACTCTTAATATTATTTCATTACAGTACTGGTAGTTTAATTTAAATTTCATTATAAAGAACATTTTAAAGAAATTATGTACATCTCTTGAATATGAAGTGTACTCCTTTTATATCTAAATTGTCCATAGATTTATTTATTTGGATAATTTATGAATAAATATTTTCACGGCATTACAAAATTATACACATAACGTTGATTTAGCCTACTTTATGTAGTTTTCATTAAGACTATTTCTTATAAATTCACTTTTGATACAAAAAACACAATGTTTACTTAGGTTTTTACATTCCATTTCCATATAATAACATTACCAAAAGTTTTTTACAACATATTTTTAGTAATCTGATTGGTTGTAAGTTAAGGTAATTATTTTTCTTTATATAAAATGTATCAGTCATAACAAGAAAAAGCTGTGCCTGGAGTAAAGCCTGCCAATTCCACCCAGCAAAAAAAGAAAAATATCAAAATTTTAAAAAATTTACCTAAAACACTAAGATTTGAGAAATTACATTTTAGATGAGTATTTATATACCAATTTAACTTCCAATCACACCAGAGCTATGCAAAAAAACAAGAGACAATTAAAAAAATATATTTGTGAAGAAATTTATTTTGTGTTAAAACCTTCTAAGCTCTATTTCTACTATTCTAAACAACACTAAAGATTTAAAGTAACAATTTTAAATTTAAACTAAATAGATATTCTTGGCCTTCATGATGATGAAATCATCAATATTTATTTTTTGTTTAGCTTTGATTAAACTTCTTTGTTTGCTTGCTAGTCAGTGCCATTGAACTGGAAATAAATAATTCTCTCTCACAATAAGGAGAACAAGATACAGATAAATATTTGTTTCCGAGTCTGTCGGGATTTAACAGTCTGCTTTACCAGTTGTTATAAATAAAAGTCAATATTTTTTATTAAGGAATTGAGGTTTGATAATAAATGATGGCTATTTTTTGCTCTTGAGAAATAATTTAATATATGTCTCATGTGTCAAATTTCTCTAGTTTAAAAATTGTTATCTTAATCAGAATGTTTAACCCTATGCTGGAAATGATCATCTACAATGTAACCAATTCACATCTTTATTTATTTGGATCAATTAAATAATTGTATTATATTTTAATTATTAGTTTAATAGCTATATAAAATCCAATTTAATATATATATATATTAATTATATATATATATATTTGAATGTATGTATGCAAATACATTTTTCTGAGATGCATTAATTCATTACAGTTAATACAGTACACTTAATTCATGCCCTGATACATATAGATAAAATTAAAGATACACAAAATATGCAGGTATTTAGTATTACAATAAAATAACTATCTATTTCTCTATAAACTGGTATGTGTAGTGTGATAAAATGTATATCTATTATTATTAATTTGAATTTTTTTCTATGGAAACTTTCTGTCTGAGTGAATAAGTGTAACTGTTAACACAGCGTCAATAAGTGAGACTGTTTACATAGAGTGAATAAGTGCATATGTTAGCATATCTTGCCATTACATTATATTTTTGTACATAAAATTAAAAACCTACAACTTAAAATCGATCTCCATCTTAATCTATGACAAGAGGAATCGCTTTTTCATTTAGAGTTCAATTTACGACCATGTTAAAAACGCAGTTCAATACCAGTACTATTATTATTTTCAATTACCTTTAATGGAACTAAACTTTTCCAGTTGTCATAGTATTTTATTAGTTTTAGTCAAATAAGAATTTAAAAAAAAAAATATTTGGCAGTAGTTTGGTCTTACACTTTTTATTATTTCAACATTTTTGTCATATTGTAACTGTATCTGAAATCAGGAAGATGAGATTTTTTAAAATGGTGTAAGATTCAAGAGTAGTTTGAAAAAAAGTAATGAATTATTTATTTTCCTGTCCCAGTATTATCAAAACCATTGTAGATTACAGTGGTGAACATACACCTATGTTATAATCTAGGTCCCCAATATCCAGTTTCTGTGTATATACAGTTCTTATCATGTGCCTAGTTATAGCATAATAAAAAGAACCCCATTATTTAATATTTGAGTAACAAATTATTGTTTGACTAATGGAAATTAAGATTCAATAAATGGATTTTCAAACAGATTCAAAGCCATGTTTTATTTCTACATGTCTTTCTTAGTAGTTCATTCTGTGACTTTTTGTTTGACTGGATTCAAAGGAAGCATCCATTATAGAATGAAATGCAAATCTGCAACCACCCTCACCAAACAATCTCCTAACACACCAACTAAGCATCACGTCAACTTAACCTCACCCAAGCTTGGTAGCCTCTGGCTCATATTATTTTTTTTTTTGATTTGAAGTAGCATTTCGCAAACAATATCTTCATAATATTTACATAATGACACAGTTTTTATCCATTTCTTACACCATCGCTTCCAGAATCAATGGCATGAAATTGCTTTGCAATGTGTGTACGAAATACAACTACAAACAGGAACAACTTGATCAATGTCTTTGTGACATTATTTTATTACAAAATATACATCGAACTCCTTCCTGAAGATCCACTGTGTCTCATGTGACTTTCTTTTCATTTCGCCTGCTCTGTATTTTCTCTAACAAAACTTCCATCTGATATTTCATCACTGGCTGACCTTTACTAGTTCGCTTGCAAAGTTTTAGATGTCGCTGTTTTTTTCTATCTTTGTATGATGTCAATGCTGCAGCTTTTTCTCTTGCAAGTCTTTCAGCTTCCTGTAAAACAGAATGCATTCTAAGAAACTGCAAATTCAAATTTACCATTCCATCATTGAAATCCTTATTCAAGAAAATTTTAATTCAAGATATTGATAGACACACTTCCACGATTAAAAGCTTCAGCCTTTAATAAGTATAACAAAATAACATATTTTTATAAGATCCAGCTGTGCTGAATTTTAAGCCGTGATTCTTAACCAACATTACCTAGAACACTTATATTGACTGGTTACAAATGCTCCGCTGGTGCGGGAAGTCACAAAACAAAGTTTTGATAGGAAGTCATATAATAAAGTTTTTTGATAAGAAGTCACAAAAGAAAGATTTGATAGTAAGTCATAAAATAAAGTTTTGATAAGAAGTCACACAATAATAAATATTTGAAAGGAAGTAGCAATTTAGACCTGAAACTGCTATTGCTCGAGAAATCTACAAATGCCATCAAACTTTAAAGTACCGGTAACCAAATATAAATAAGGGTGATAATTGGTTGTGCTTCCTAGACTCCTAGTAATGTTTTCATAGGACACAAACAATTAGTGTAATTTAATGTTATAGCTTAGCTTTAATTAAAATAACATAGAAAACATTTTGAGATACTCAGGAAAGATAACCAAACCATAAGTGTAATAAAAATGTCTTAAAAGGAGTCCAAAGTTTTCCAGCTTGTGACATTTGAAAATCTATATAAAAAGTTATACAAGATGTGTGATTATTTTTCTCAGCCAGTGTCGTAACAAAGAGATGGACTCATAACAAAGAGATTGACCGCTAGGCTAAATATTTATTTTATTCCTTTTAAAATGAGCAAGACACACCTTTTTCTTTGTCTCTTTCTCTTCCTGTTTTTTTCTTGCTATCTTCTCAGCCGTACTGAATGCATGTCGTTTTTTCCCCTGGTCTGGAGTTCTGAAATAGAAAGGAAGAACATATAATGTGAAAAAAAAAACAACTACTTTTCAGGCAGCCACTTTTAGATCAGATGAAGATTTAAAGAAATTAAATTGCAACTCCACAACCATGTTCAGGTAGCTCTCAATATCTCTTCATTCATTCCAAAGGCATTCTATTGCATGAATTGTTAAAAGCTTTTCTTGGTTTAAAGTTCAACAACCACTTTTAAAGGGTTGGCAATTGCGAAAATGAAATGTGTTCCTAAAGTTGTCTCTTTTGTTTGATGTGGGTTTTAGGGTAAGCAATATTCCATTACTTACTGAGATTTTTTTTTTGAGTGTGTGAATTTTATTGACAAAGAAATTAGGAAAAGGGAACCATATTTGCTAGTCAAAACGTAATACTTAATACATCAAAAGGTACTGTGAGATTACGTTGCATGCAAAATGTCGCACTGGTACTGTCGAAATACTTGTACCGGTCTTCTTGACCGACCCGTTCAAATTCCAGTACTTGTGGCACCATTGTCTAGGGTCAACTACACTGTTAAAAAACTCATTACGCCAACACTTCTGAATAATGACGACAGCAACACTTCACACAACAATAGTTCTTCTTTAGTCTCATCCTCTGCCAAGGTGTATCACCACACCACTTGACGAGCAGAGAAACTGTCAACACCCAGCACGTGTCTTTGGAATTAACTGAACTAACCGCACACTCTTCTGTGTTACTGTATATCAACTAGAACTACTATACATCAACCTGACATGAACTCAACGTGAAATAACTGCCATCTCTGTACAATGAAAACTCAACTCCCTCTCCTCCCGACCTCACACACCTTTTATCCCACACACTTTTTTATTATGCGTTTCCTTTCATCCACTCACAATTAGTCAGAATAATACCCCCAACGCTCACAACTCAGGGTGACAACAATCTCAAACCAACCACAGTAATAAGTCTCATACGCTTGACAGGGACATCAAAATTTATAATGAAAATAAGCCGTGTACAAACTTTAACCTTTCTGAAATTTTGAGAACCTAAAGTATATGGGTTCTAAAAAGTATAACCAAGACAAACAAACCAGTCTCAAATGTCAATTAAAATAAAAACCGGCTAAACAAACTAATTTTGAGCTTACATATCACCTGTAACTAGAAAACAAAACAAACTGATGTTGATGACTGCTGAAATTTTCCCCACCCTCTTACTCCTACAAACATGTGTTTAATGACTAGAAATGTTTCCTTTTGATGTGATTTATTTAGTACTTAAAATCTTTATTACCGGTACATCACAATCACCAGTTTAACAGTTTTTAAAACACAGTTTAAAGGAAAACTTTTCAAAAGACATACAAGAGTGTTTGCACATGATGAGTCTCATCATTAACAGTACGCTAAATTTAGAAGCTAACAATTAATTGCAATTTTTTTGTAAACTTCAAATAATTTCTTATTTGGCAAAGCTTGTCACCTAGAGAAAGATTTCATAGTTATCAAGAGAAAAAACACTCCACAGAAAAAAATGGGTTGTAGAAATGTCTATAAAAACAAGGATTTTGGAAATATCTAGAAAAACAACTCTGGAAAGGGGATAGCCAAAAATGTTGTATATATATTATTGTTACCTGCCGTTATAATGTGTTGAGAATTTAATGTATTACTTGACTCTATGGCTCTTGACAAACAGTACATAACAAAGAATGATACCATTAATTAAATATAGTAATAAAGAATGATACCCAAACTAGTGCTAATTACAAATAATAATTCATTAAGTTAAGTTTACAATAAAAAAAATCAAATAGAATAAAACTAAGGCTATTCACTTACAGTACAGCAATTAACTGGTACCGGTACAATGTTGGGAAGGTGCGCAAACATATAACAAATAGAATATATAAATCTACGATCAGTACAGAATGTCAGTATGTCTGGCTCTCAACTCCTATCATAATCGCAATCTCACTCTCTTTGTCTTGCGGTCTTCATCTAGCTCTACCGCTCCTTTTTGTCAATCTACTTTAATAGACTTTTCAAGAAAGAGTCCACACCCATTATATCTGTACCTTGGGCCATTTCGTAAATTCTATAGAATTCGATTATAGGTTGTGTTTACATGTAGTCAAGGGAGACAATTCATAATTAGGCCATGCCCATTGTCTTGCCAAACTAGGGGTCACCCAAAGTTTATTCACAGGATTCAGGATGTTAGCAAGATGTCTACATAACAATTATCAATACCGGTATATAATATATTAAATTTGGCCTTTCATGCGAAAGAAAATCTCAAAGGCTTAATTAATTACATATATCATAATAACTATAAATAAGATAAGAAACCAATGCTTAAAATGAAATGCATAAGTATGTTATTAGTATTTGCACATAATAACCTGTTTTCTATCCTAATCTTACTAGCGGGATGTTAAATCTGCAATCCCCCCAGGCAAAGTGGAAGAAGATGCACAGCAAAAGATCTTTTAACTTAACTTTTATGTAAAGATACACTTACTGACTTAATGTCTACAATTATCTTTCCTGTGGCTTAAAAGAAATGCTGTAAACATTGATTAGAACATCCATAAATTCTAAGATGTGTGTTTTACCTTTTAATCGGGTGTAATAATGCTATAGGCTTGTGTTTAGGGGCATCTCCTCCAACATGCTGACGTTTCTCCTTTTTCAGCAATTTCATATACTCATATGCTGCTTTCCTTTTTCTTTTGTCTGCAAAACCTTGTCCTGAAATGTATTTTTGTCTTATAAACTATTTGTTTGTTTGTTTCGTTTTGATATTAACAAGACTAAGTAAAATTTCAATAAGATCAAGAAAATAATTACAGTTGAAATTTTTTTAAAGAATAAGTCAGCATTCTGTTATGCAGTAAAATTAAAGTGTCTCCCCATTGGTGACTTCAAAGTTTATTTCACCATGAGATGGTAATCTTTTTAAATTTTGAAAATACTTTTTTGTGTTGTAATTAGTTACATTGTTTATGCTTCCATTTACGAAACACAGTGAACTGTATTGCCATTGTTTTGATCTTTCTTAAGCATTTAGTAGTCAGATTTCAAAATCAGTCTTATATTATATTGGTCCTGTTTAATTTAATGATTCATTAGCATACAGAATGGACTCAAACTCTATGTATATTACTAAAAATTATCACAGTGCCAGGACATTTGGGCTGGATACAACGATTTTTTATGTATCCCCATACTGATTTGCACAGGAGACACCAAGTAGCCTTAATAATATGGCCTACTGAGATTAAATTCTAAAAAGTTTCTTTGGTTCCATGTTGAAATAGTTTTCTTTCACATTTTTTGAATTTCTTAATTAATTGTCAGAACATACATATTGCTTGGTTCTACAACTGTGACAACAGACTAGCTCATGACATTGTCAATATTGATCCTGATTCTTCACTAGTAATCAAGATTTTTCAAACTTTTCAAAATCATTACAAGGGGGTAATTATATTTTGTTGACATATTTTAAGCCACTTCTCATTAATTAGGCCCTGTGTATCCACCTGTTTCCCTATTTTTAGGATAGGAAATTCAAACCGTTTTACTCTGTATTGGTGATGGCGTACTGCAGTTTTTAATTGTATTACAATAACACACACCATATTTGTCAATTAAAAATGGCTCATTAATTGGCTATCAAAAATTAATAATATTTGTCGGTACCAGTACCCAATTAAAGCTTAACCATTTTATGATTGTTTTATACCATTGTTCAACAACAGGTCATTGAAAAAAACCAGCCATATTATATCAAGAAAAATCAACCACCTGTTTTCATATCAGGAAACTTTATCCCTGTATTGATGATACCTCACCTCCGTTCACTCAACCTCTGCTCTCTCAAAGTAAAACCAACCCATGTGTTATATTAAAATTGCAATTAATTGAATGATTAAATTATTAAACTCTATTAATTTTCCTGGAGTTTGAATCTCAGAAAAAATTAATAATGTAAATTTTGTAATCTTTCTTCACAAAAACAGCCTGGGGCTTTTTATTTTAAATATTAAAAAATAGCGCTGGTTAAATTCACACAATCTACGCTACAGTTTACATAAATATTAAAACAAGGTATGGAAAAACCCATTTGGACTTGAAAAAAAGGATAGAGACAGATTGTCATCAAAGGTGGCGACGACACTGTCATTTCTGATCTGGCTATATAACTCGTCAATAATAATGTCTATAAAAAATGTCTTTTTGACAATTCATTTAGACTTAAGTAAGTTTATTAGCTTCCTGCTTCCAGAGCCATCATTGGGCATGATGTGGGCCTTAAAATCCCTGTGGCCTAAGCCTAACTTTTGATTTGAAAAAATACTTAGCTTTAAATATCAATTTTGAATCAATAAATTATAAATGCAGGAGGAGGATCAAAACGTGGCAAGGGCGCAATTAATTTAAATGGTAAAAAATATGTATATTATTACTACTACTGAGTACAAGACTACTATGATACTATGGTACTAAAAATTAACTATGATTAGTATGATCACTATACTATACTTAGTCATCAGAATAACTTAAAAATGCCTATCCTAACAACTCTAAAAAATACTTTTTTTTTACTTTGACTTTACACTAGTAATTGGTAATGAAACTAAAATTTAGGCCAAAGTAATAAAATCCTCAAATGAATGAATTAACTGTTAGTAACTTAATGATTAAAATTAAATGAATGATAATTAATACGAAGTGGCTGTGAGCACCGCGGCGGTATACCTAGCAAAACCATGGACCTAGGCCTGTGTACACTGTGGCGGTGTACCTAGCAAAACCATGGACCTAGGCCTGTGTACACTGTGGCGGTGTACCTAGCAAAACCATGGACAATGCGTAAAATGCAGCAAAAATGTACCATTGGCATGGTTTTAAGATATGCCTGTTAGATAAGATCTTGAGTGGTTTTGTGGTAGAGTGGAAGCTAGGCGATATTTTATTTGGTGTTATATTCCTAGAAGGGGATCGAGTTTTTAGATATCTTTTTTTCCATTTTAAAATTATAATAATAATAATAAAGTGTATTTTAAAAAAACACGCTACATCCCTAAAGGCTCGAAGCGCGGTACAGAGTAAAAAAAAAAATATATATAATTTACCACATTTAAAACAAACGCAACACTACAAAAACTAATTTCAAGCATTTATATTTTATTTTTAAATTATTACGTTCATTTGCAACAGTAGTTGCATGAAAATTTTAAAAATATTTTTTAGCAATTTAAAAATTTTAAATATATGTTATATTCCGCTTATTAAGTATTTAAGTTTAAACTTCAACACGTTGTGCCGTCCTTTGACTTTGAAAATACTGATAAAAAGGAAACCAGAAAAAACAAACTGAAAGCGCATGTATTGTGTATGAAACAGTATAACAAACATTTTGAATACTATGCAATATTTTATTTTATTTCAATATTCTTCATGTAGTTGAATATTTACATTTTACTTTTACATGTAAAATGTACATGTCGCCATGATGTAGACCACAGATTTTCACGAATCTATTAACATATGAACGAACATCCAAAGAAAATGCCAGTATATCATATGAATATTAATGTGCATGGTCGTCATTTCAACCATCTTGCTTTCACTATGCATTGGCCAAATTTACACATGATATCCACGGTTAATTCGCAACCCTCGGTCTTACAACAAATCTTTTGAAAACACAATTTTGAAAATTTAAAGCGCCGTAGCAAACTGTATAGCAAAGCCATAGGTCTACGCTTACCCTGTTCATGATGGAATTGTTTCCAGAATGGCATGGCATGAGCTATTCTCAGGGTAAAACAACGTACCGGGGGATGGGGTGAGTTATGGGCAGAGGCTCAACAGGGGGCACAAAACCAAAAAGGGGGCCTACACAAGTCACGGCTCTGGATAGGGGTTGTCCACAAAGGATGTCCACACAACAAACTTACCTTTCGCATACCCGCCCGCCCACCCAACACGGGAGAGGGGGTTGCTGATGTTTGCCGGGATTTTTTACTCATGTATAATGCCAGGAAATAAAAGTATTATAATGAGAGTCAATACATTTAAATTTCTAAAATCAATATGATACATAGTTCCATCAATGTATTAATTATGCACTATGGGGGAGGAGCAGGCTGTTTATTTTGGACATTTTGCATTCTGCTGCGTATAGCGGTTGGGGGAGGGGAGGAGGGTTCGGCAGAAAGAACGTACATTTAATAATTATCCTGAATTTCTGACATTCTAATTTATCCAAAAAGGCCTATTTTAACCTAAAAATCTGTGAAATCAATGAAATTTAATTATTGTTAAAAGATTTTAAAAAATCACTGCAGTGTTTGTAATTATCATCATGTTGTTGTTTTGTGTTGACAATCGCTTGACATCACAATGACAATGGTTAGCCTCTGACAACTTTAACTTCAAGATCGATGTACGTTGTTCTCTGCTGGCAACGTATTTGTGGCGTAATTATATCTTGGAGTAAATAAAATATGTACACTGGCTTCCTATTCAATTTTACACCACACCTTGAGGGATCACATACAACATTATAATTATAATGCCCTCACCCCCCCAAAAAAGAAGAAAAAATGAAAACAAACTAGTGGGGGGAAAAATTGAATTCCAATTAGCTACCGTTTTTAGGCCCTAAAATTCACAATCCTAGGATAAAACTTACAATAATTGATAAATATATTTGTATTTCAGTATATGGGGGGAAAATAAATTGGTTAACTTTAAAAATAAATCATGGTTTAACATTACCCTCCCCCCCTTTTTACCAATAAATGCTAAGAAATGCTTTGCTCTTTACTTACTTTACCAAAAAAGTGTGGAACTTACCCAATATCTTCCTTCCAATGGTATTAAATGATTTTTAAATACATAATTCTCAGTTTTAACAAGAGTATAACATAAAAACTACAAGTACCGGTTAGGCCAAAATGTTTGAAAAAGTTAAAGACTCGCTAAGAGTAAGAGTAGCGAGTCCATGTCCATTGTTTTGCTGATTAAATCGCTGCTGTGTACGCAGGCCACAGCCAATGATTTAGCTAGGTACACCGCTGCAGTGCACGTAGTGCCGGCCTAATTAATAATTATAATTGATTATGATGATATTAAAATTGAAAATTGAATTATGTCATAACTCATAGATGGTTTCATTTCATTAATCAATCTAGTCAAATCTAAATCTCAACTAAAATTGATAAGTATGAATCAGTCAGTATGAACTATATTTAATGATTATCATGATAATGAATCAATATGAATGAATTATGAAGTCCAAGTAACAAACAAAAAAGTATCTAAATTACTAAAGATTAAGTAATAATTCACTAAGGACTAGACTAATATAATAATATTTAATACTATCTTATCTTATAATTATAATACTATCTCACTATCTCTCAGTCTCAGACTATCTGATCTGAAGTAAAATTGTAAATTATGAATAAAAAATGTTTACCTTCGTTTTTATTTCCAGTAAATGGCTTAAAAACGTCTTCTTTTTTATTCATCTTTGATTTGTACGGTAAAATAAAAGTTAGAAAATATATATAATATTTCAACACTTAAACTTATAGTTTAAATTAAAGCCAAGCATGACGAGTAAAGTAATTTCGTCTCCATGGTATATTTCCCGTCAAACTTTTAATAATAACTAAGTAAACTAAGTGTTACGGCTAAAAACTACGACTTTGTTTTGATCTCTAGCAATAGTGTGTTTCATTTGCCAACAAATTTAAAATAACTACGATAAGCATTAATATTATCAATCCAACTTTAATGAACATAAATATCAATTTTTACTATAATAGATGTTTTCGTATTCGGGCGTAATATCTTTGTTAAGAAATAAATACGTAGAATTTTGCCGAATCTTGTTTTAGGAAGTTCAACTATTTTCATTTCCGGGTTAATTATTAAAACTAAAAACAAAGTAACCGATCATTAATGAATCATGAGCAAAGACTATTTTTTTACAGATACGTCAAGAGAAACACATTTTTGACGCTAAAATTATCCAAATATCGTATTATTATAATTCTTAGAATTATAACAACAATTTGCTGCATTTTGTAATATTACAAATAAATAGTAAGTAGGTCTAATTAATTCTAATTTATTTAGAATTTATAATTTAATTAGTAAATTAGGTAGAAAAAAAGAGTAGAGTCTAAAACTAAATAATACTAAGCCTGGAGGTACTTGTGGGAAAATATTCAAAATTATAAAGTTATAGCTTTAAGAGCTAGTTGGTTACAAAGAGGGCCTAAAAAATGCAATTCAGAATTCATTGATACCAAAGAAATGAATAGGCCATAGTATAGTCATAGTGGTAGGTCAATTCTAATACTAATACTAATAAAAAAAGTAGCTTTTTTTCTGAATTATTTAGGTAAAACTGTGTGTGTTAGTAATTAAGACATATATCATAATATATGATATATGAATGAAAATATAAAAGTGAGCAAAATGAAAAAAACGGACAAAGTTGAGATAGATGTTATCAAGAGCAGTAAATTGAGGTTATTTGAGGAATTAGAGAAGATAGCCATTACAAACCATATAATCTTGATAAACTCCACCATGGCAGATCCTAAGACCAGGTGAAAAATGAGGAGGGTTGGCATGAGGCCAGCCACCTCACCTGTTAATAACAAACTGCTAAAGAAACATCAGCAAGAAAAGCAATTTTAGCCCTGATAAGAGAGGGTTCTTCTTCCCCAAGAAGACTTTTGAAACCTTGTGGCTAAAGCCAGGTTATACTGGAAGCCTCAAAGCCAAGGACCCTCCTTTCAAAGGCAATTAACATAGACTAGTGCAGTGGTCGGAAAATCCAATGCGGGCCTTTTTAGTGACCTGAGTGCGGCTTGGCCAGCCGGCCACAAATCCTTTGTGACTCCATTAAACATGGTTCTTGACAGTTTCTTGGAAAGAAATTTGGATCTCAAATTTCTTTTATCGTTCTGCTGTTGATTTTTGGCTCGTTTGACTAATGAGTTTGCCGACCACTAGGATAGTGGAATATTAGAACCATGTATGAAACAGGGAAATCAGCACAAGTGGTGGCAGAAATGAGAACATACAAACTCACACTGAAACAAGATGGACACAAGCTAGACAATGAACTTTGGTCTCAGGAGAAACACTGATATACTCAGGGCATGAGGAGGAAAATGCTCCACACACACAAGGAGTCGCTTTCATGATAACACAGATGGCACAAGAGGCATTGATATGATGGGAAGCTTATATTCTAAGAATTAATACAGCAACTTACTGAACCAAGCAGAAGAAAATAAATATGAATGTAATACAGTGCTGTGCACCCACCAACGATAGTAAGGAAGACAAAAAAAGAAGTTCTCTGCACTACTGACAAAAAACTACAAACAATACTGGAAAATTTTATAGGTAGAGATCTAAATATCTTAATGGGAGATCTAAATGCTAAGGATGGAAAAAAAACAGTGGATACGAAGAAATTATGGGGCACCATGGTATAGGAGATAGGAATGAGAACAGTGAAAGACTGGCAGACTTCTGCACAACAAATGAGCTCGTTATTGGGGTCAGCAAATTCCACCATAAGAATATCCACAAGGTAACTTGACAGTAAAACACAAAACCAAATTTATCAAATATGTATTAGCAAAAAATTTAGAAGGTCTCTACAAGATGTATGAGCAAAAAAGAGGAGTCAATGTCACATCTGATCACCATCTTGTTTGGGCAAGACTCAAGCTAAAACTGAAGAAAACTGAAGAGCCAGCTGCTAAATGACTAAAATTCAACATAGCACTTCTAGCAAATGAGCAGAAATGAGAGGAATTCAGTGCTACCTTGAGAAATAATTTCCAGGCACTGCAAGACCAAATAGATGATGACCAGATAGAATATAAATTGCGAAACATAAAGATGTCTGTAAAATCCACTTGCAAAGAGGTTTTAGGACCTTGAAGCAAAAACACAAAGATTGGCTCTCACTTAACACGCTGCAAAAAATAAAAGACAGAAAAGAAATGAAGATTGTAGTTAACAGCAGCTGCACCAGAGTGGAGAAAACAAAACCACAAGTGAAATATAAAGGAGCAAATCAAATTGTAAAAAAACAGCATAAAAAAGATAATAATGCTTACATAGATGGTCTAACATCAACAGCAGAAGAAGCAACCATGGTCAACATGCTGTACTCTCTGTTTGAAAAGATATGGGAAGAAGAGAGAGTCCCAAAAGATATGAAAGAAGGATACCTCATTAAGATACCAAGGAAAGGATATCTCAGCAACTGTGCAAACTACAGAGGAATTACACTTCTGTCTTTACTAGGAAAGGTCTTTAACAGAATTATTTTCAATAGAATGAAAGGTCAACACGCTGCGACAAGATCAACATGCATGTCCCCTTTCCTATTCATCCTTGCCGTTTAATGGATAATAAAAAAAATTTCAGACAAATCGAGGAATGAGATACAGAGAACACTCTGGGAACAACTGAATGGCCTAGACTTTGCAGATGGCATTGTACTTCTATTCCACAGCTAGCAACAAATGCAGGAAAAGACTAATGATGTAGCCACCATTTTAGCACCATGTATGTCTCAGTGATTAATGTATGCCTCAGTGATTAATTTTTGCCTCAGTGATTAATGTATGCCTCAGGGATTAATGTATGTCTTACTGATTAATGTATGCCTCAGTGATTGATGTATGCCTCAGTGATTAATGTATGCCTCAGTGATTAATGTATGCCTCAGTCATTGATGTATTCCTCAGTAATTAATGTGAACCTCAGTGATTATTGTATGCCAAGCATTAGTCAAGGTTAAAAAAAAGGATGAATTAATGTTATTTGTTTATGCTTGGTGTCTCAATACATTTCCTGTGGAAGTTATTCACTTATTTTTATTACACTTGTAAAATAATTAAAGTTTTTAAAATGTTTCCTTTTATTTTGGTGCTATAGAATTTTTCTTTGAGGATTACTAACTCATTAAAGGAATCATGGAGTCGATTGAGCAACCATTTGACAGCATAACACGTATAGGACAAGATATGCCTGATACTCGTAAGTGTATACATTGATAGCTCATTTGGCTTATTACAAGTTTATTCGTATATAAGCTTAAAAGAATAATGATAAGAGCTTAACATCATAATAATAAAATTTTATGTACAAGGATAAATTGTTCACTGGTTTATAATAAAGTTTATTTCCATTTTTTTTAGAGAATAGAAGCTGCACAAATGATACTTAAAACTTGTCAGTTACAATTTAATTGTAGATTCAGTACTTATGCTGTTGAAAAGATAACATAATTTGTAACTGGCTGTTACTCAAAAAAAAATATTTAAAAAAATTAATTATTAAAGAAGGAAACTTATTAAGATCCTACTTAATTGTTTATTATACAAGTCTTGTGTGGTTTAATTTTTTTTTTTAAATGTATGTATTTAATATAATTATTTAATATAATTATTTTTTTTTACAGATGACAAGACTGGCCTCATTGATACAGATGGGCCTTTGAAACATGTCAGTAATGGTGACAGCCCAGGAGCAGAGTGCTCTCCCCTTCATCAACTGAAAACCACCAACAGTATATTGTGAGTCAGTTTTAAATCATGCCTGACCCTTGGTCTAGAACTAGGAGGATCCAATTAAAACACATTTGTGATATCTTTGGTTCTAATTCTCATACTCATATATGAAAATTATTTCATTGGTAATGTAGTGCATGACATGGTATGTGAAAAGGCTGAAGGATCCTTGTTTTCATTTGTTTTATTAAATTTACAACATCAAGTGAATGGATTGAATGAAATCTAGTCACATACCACTCATTTAATGTGCACAAGTTTTATATAATTTTTTATTTTTAAAATCCAAATAGGTATGGTCCACAAAACAGAGGGCTGCGTATGATAATAATAACAGCTATAGTATTTGCTGTTGCCATAACTGTGGCTCTGGTGTTGACCATTTATCTAGAGCCTAAGCAGGTATTAACATTTATACAGTATCAACAGTCAAGGTGCATAAATCTCCTTCAATGTTCTTAATATAGATTTTTTAAAATCAAGTGTGCATCAAAACGTTTTGCAATTTCATCTTAAGTGTTTTCACATTAAAAGTTGGTAAATAAAAATATAAACTAATGGTACTATACATTAAACAAAAACTAGCTGCTCTATGCTTGGGGGTCTTAGGTTAACTGTTATGATATTACGTAAGCTGTAAAATGATAAAAGGGTTTTCAGCTCTTGAAAAAAAAAAAAATTTGACCAAGGTTTTACGTCAGTTCATTTTTAAGCAGGTCATGGAATGTTTTTTTTTAGTTTTACAGTGTTTTACATGCTGCACAGATTGTAAGTGTTGATTGATTGTGATACTTCTGTCTGATGACAACTTCTAAGCAATAGGTTTAATTTTGATATGCCCAGTTTCATGGTCACGCTGCGGTTGCCTGTGATGATGTTCGCTGTAGTGAGATAGGCTTGCAGGTGTTAAAAGACGGAGGAAATGCTGTGGATGCCACTGTGGCTGCTGCATTCTGTCTTGTAGTTGTCAACCCTGCACATGCTGGTATTGGAGGGTAGGAGATTTTATCTAACTCGTAGTAATTCTTTAAATCATTAGCTCCTTATTTACTATCATGCCATTACAAGTAAGACAGAACTTTACTTTGCCAGTCCCATCCATATTGAGTTTTTTTAAATTAGAAGACTATTATTAGCTTTGAACCACATGAAGAAACCATCTTTGTTGCTATATTGATGTCAAATTTTCATTGTAGTCAAGTCTGGCAAAAATTCCCGCATTTACCTTCACGTGGTTGAAAACTGTACAAGACATTCTCAATTATGAAATTTGCCTGCATCTGCAAATACAAAATAAGCCAGAAATTAATTTTCTTGCTTTATTTATCCGAACACAAAATAAAAACTCTGGATTTTGAAGAAAAAAACCAGAAAATTTCCTACAAATCTCAAATCAGACTTTCAGTGTTGCAATGGCCTTGACATTGTATCACTAAAAGTCATATTTGGCAATAACAATAGATTCTTTCTTTAATCTTAACTTTCCTAGAGGGGGCTTTGCTCTTGTTCATGACCACAAATTCAAAAAGTCTTTGGGGTACAACTTCAGAGAGAGAGCACCATTTAAACTTAACCCTGAACAAGTTTCAAACACAGATTTTGGATCGGTGAGTTTGAAACATGGCCAACATAATGTTTATTGAGTTTCAATATTGTATGGGATATATTATTTTTTAAATATTAATTACAGTAAGTTAATTAATAATGTAATTTTTGAGTTTTATTTTGAATATTACTTTATATAATCAAGTTAAGTCTGATTTTTTAATCTTATAAAATTTCTGATCCACTTAATTTAAAGCTTCAAATTGTGAGTTTAGTACATTATTCTCTGAGTTGGAAGTGAAGACTAGTTCATTATTATTTGAGTTGGAACTGAGGTTTAATTCATTATTTTTTTAGTTGGAAGTGAGGTTTAGTTCATTATTATTTGAGTTGGAACTGAGGTTTAGTTCATTATTCTTTGAAGTGGAATGGAACATTCCTAAATATTTTTTAATGAAAAATTTTAATGTTATAATTTATTGTTATCTTGACCAGAGTGTCCTGTCTGCTGGTGTTCCTGGTCTTGTTAAAGGACTGCGTGATATGCATGAGAAACATGGTCGGTAAGGAAATATTTTTTTTCTGTGACCGACACTTACCGCAGCATCAGTAAGAAGAGCAATACACATAGGCCCAGCCTCTGATTAACAACTAGGTTGACAAGACTTCATTTTAGAATTAGCTTCTTAAGATTATAAATAAACTTAATATCGGAACATGATGAATGTTATTATTTTAACTGTGAGTTCGGCGTTCAAAATTGTATTTTTTACTCTAAATACAGACTCTGGGTAAATGCAAATATGAAATTTTGGATGTTATAAGATATTAATTAACTTTTTGATCCATTCTTGCAATCTGTTCATAGCTTTTCATTTGAAATATTTAAAACTAACATGTTTTGAAAGATTTAAACAAAAGGAATTAAAATTGTTTATTCATTAATTTTTAATTCTCGATTGAAATTACTATTTAAAATGTTTCCTCTTTAAAAAATGTTTCTTAAAATTCTTTTTTATTGTAATTATTTTTCACGAACATTTATCTGATTTCTTCTCTTATGGTCTCTCATAAATTCATAGGCTCCAGTGGCCAGATCTTATTCAGCCAGCTATAAAGCTTGCCAGTGGCGGGTTTCTCGTTTCTGAAGAACTTGGTAATTATTTATTACATCTACTTTAATTCAAAATAAAAGAGATTTCTAGATAAGAGAAATTATATTATCATGTGTACGTTGATGTCAGTCCAATTTTTATGCTCCAGAAAAAAGTCATGTCCATGTCTTCCCCTTCTTTGTGTGTCTTTACACATACTATGAGTTTACAAATTAAATAAATTCTTAAAAATACAACATTTGAATGTAAAGTTAAATAAAATTGTTAATTATAACTAACAGCTACATTTACTTTATCTTGTCATATATTTAATTTATGATAATATTGAGATGACAAAAAAGAAAAAGACAGCATTTTAAGAAACTTAAGAAAATGTCTTCTATTTCATGTATTTTATTTTTGTACTGTAGCAAGACTTTTAGGTGAAAATGGTCAATTTGTTGATCCATCTTTGAGAGAGCTTTTCATGGATGGAGGTAACCCTAAGGTTTTGAATGATACCATTGTGTGGACATCCTTAGCGTCAACACTCAGGAGTATTGCTCAAGATTCAGACAGTTTGTACAGCGGGTCTCTTATGGAAAGTGTTAATGAAGAGGTGAGAAGAATATATATAAATCTCAAAATTGAATTTATGACTTTTACTTACATCAGAGATAAGCCCAATTTGATAATACAGGGTTGTAGCCAATCAATTTACCTATGTCAGAGGTAACCCAATTTGATTTTACTGAGTTGCAGCAGATCAGATATGTTTTTTCGTTTCACCCACTATATGATGTATGGCATACATCTTCTAGACTGTGATGATGTGCCAAGACTTGGCAATTGCCCAAATGATCATTTTCAAAAGCCTGTAGAACATTAGAATCACCTTATCTGTGAAGTTTACAAATGTAGTGGAAATTTGTGGTGAAAAATCTTATTACTGATAACAGAAATTTTAGTGCCAGACTTTACAGTGGTACAGACCGTCTCTTTTATTTCTCTGTATTTCACTTTAAAATGTTGCAATCTTGCATGCTGGCGATTATTTTTCAAAGCAAACTTACAACGTAATTATTTTTTGAGATAAATTGCTTCAACTTGCATGATTCTGTTTTTTTTTTTTTTTTTTTTTTTTTTAAATTTTTTTTTTTTTTGGTTTTTGTTTTTTTTTTTTTTTTTTTTTTTCTTTTTAAAATTCATTTTTTTCATGGTCATAGTATGTTTTATTCAGAGCAAGGTTTGTATTGAGATCGTGGAAAATAAATCTCTCCCTCATCAGCCGAATGAAGGAATTAACTATTTAGAAAATGATGTAAAATTATGGGAATAAAAAAAAACTGTTATACTGTTAACAAACAGACCATCTTTTAAATTTTATGCTATCAAAACTGTCATCATTCAAACAAAAAATATCCTTTGCTGATTAAAGACATGCTTACCAGTACACATTTTAAAATATTTCTTTTGGACCTTCAGTATTAAAAAATGGGTTTTAAACGAAAATGAAATACAAATTACATCGTAAAAAGTGAGAATTAAAAGAAATTAAAAAGTGAAAATTAAAAAATTAGTTACTGTGTCTTATTGTAAACATGCAGTTGCTTGTTAGAAGAACAATACATAACAAAGGACTCAAACCAGTGTAATAATAAAACAATACCAAAGCAAGTGAAGTTGACAATAACTATCTTATTCACACTAATAATTCTGATAAATAACTACAAAAATTCCATGTACAGAAATGAGGAAAGGAAAAATATATATCAACTTACAGCACTTGAAATGTCTAGCAAAAAAATGTGGAAATAGTAATCAACACACAAGCACAGTGAAAATATTAATCCACACAAGTAATAAGGATGGTGATGATATTTATCCATACACACAATGGTAAGTAATCACAGGCTATGTCTCTCACTCAAGCCTTGCTAAAGTCTTTCTGAACCACATTGGACCGTCTTACTCATAGTTGGGGAAATAAGCTTCTAGAAAAGGAATCTTATATAGAAAGACACATGGCATGTGTGAGCAAAAATTCTTTCACAACGAGATACGCATGTGGCAGGTAAGAGTTTTGCATGCGAGAGCCCTGCATCTCAACAACAATGTTCACATTCAGCAACACGTTATATCTTTCATAACCAAGGACATGAAAATTGTGCATCTAAATTAACAAGTTTCATAAGCAAGCAGGGTGGCTAAAAACGTCACAAAACATAAGAGGCGTTAGACCCAAGCTGTAATATGGAGAAATAGGAAATTTCTCAAAGAATATATGGATTCAATTATTTAAAGTTTCTAACGTGACTGTCAAGTGACACAGAAATTATGCCATCACAATATGCTTCCTGGGTTTCTCTTCTGATTTTTTTAAAACAGCGAAAGCTTGTGTTGAGGGTATCATTGAATATCTTTTGTTATTTTATTGTCAACAGATATCTCGCGTGGGTGGTGTGCTTTCTGAGGAAGATTTGAGAAACTACACAGTGCTGACACCTGCTGTGCTTGAGACCAAATTTAAAGGTAGGTGGACTAGAAACTACACAGTGCTGACACCTGCTGTGCTTGAGACCAAATTTAAAGGTAGTTTCCCTGTAAGCTTTGGTGTACCAAATAGATTTATTTTAATTTAGAATTAGAAGATTAAGATGAACGTATAATCCTGAGTTTATGAAAGTTGTCACTGTCACTATTTACGAATTGAATCATTATTAAAATTATGAAAATTAATTTCTGCACGAAAAAATAACTTGTCTTTAGTGGTTACATAATCTTCTCAAATTAAAACTACTAGAAAGTCATATTTATTATTAATTTTTTTTTTCTTCCTTAAGAACTCACAGTAGTGACTTTAGCGCCCCCTGCTGGTGGGGCCCTTGTTGCTCTTATTTTGAAAATGGCTGACAAGATTGGCTGGAAAGACAATCAGGCCAATGTCAGCCTGACCTATCACCAGCTCATAGAGGTATTGAAGCACTGAGTCGATTTAATAATGAAATGCAATGTCATGCTTTCTTTGAGTTTAAATTTTTTAGAGAAATGTCTTTCATCTACAACAGGGATCCCAAAACTTTTCAGCCTGAGGGCCCCATTAACAATCAAACAGCAGTTTGGGGGCTGACTACACACTCAAGGTCCAAATAAAAAAGAATCAAAACATGGGCGTTGTTTTTAATTATTTATCTAAGATTATTTTATTCAGTTATTATTTAATAACACATTGATACACTACAAATGAACACCTGTATTAGTGCCTTTAAAAGCGGCGGCCAATCTTGGTAGATACTTGTAAATTTCCGGGGATTTTTTCGTAGAAAAAAAGGTCTCCATGGGCTGGATGAGAGGGGGTGGCGGGCTGGCGGGCCGCATCTGGCCATCGGGCCATAAGAGACCGTAGTTTGGAGACCCCTGATCTACAACAAAGGTTCTACAATTATATTTGCACCAGTATCTTTTGTGTTTTTTTGTATTAAATAAACAAGTCGTGCAATTATTTTTACATACAGATCTACAAGTTTGTGTACGCTCACAGAGCTCTCCTGGGTGACCCTCTGTTCAATGACGGCATGGAGAAACTCACCGAAGCCATTCTAAGTGATGAATTTGTGGCAGAGTTGACTGGAATGATAAATGATAACCAAACCTATCCTGACCCAAAACATTATGGTCCATTCAGTCCTGGCAAGAGTTCTGGCACATCCCACCTGTCAGTCATTGACTCGTCTGAGCTGATGGTGTCAGCAACAATGTAAGGAACAAAGCTAATCTTGACCTTACCTAATTGACTTCACTTCAATATTTGACCACAATGGATGACATATCTTCTTGACCTCTTAATTAAAATTTTATCTCTTTCACCTAATCAATTTTTTGTTGTGCTTGTTTTAAAGATTATTGTTTTGTTTTGATTTTCTGCTTAAATGTTTACCAATTTGAGATTTAGTTACATCCTTGCAAACCTTCAATAATAAGACATCCACATTGTAATTCATGCTGTCTTTCCCTTCTTCAGAAGTATGAACTCAAACTTTGGAAGCAAAATTTACTTGAAAAATACAGGCATCTTGTTGAACAATGTGCTGACTGACTTTGATCTGACAAACCTGACTGCAGCTGTAAGAGAGTGTTTACTTTGTTCTGTCTTTTTTCAATATAGAGATATTTGAAAACTCTTAATAGGCTGAGTTTGTTTCTATATTTAGACTGAAATCACTTCATGTCAATGGAAAAAGAAAATTGCTTCCAGAAAATAACCAATAACTTCAAAACTTGTAGACATAGACTAACTTATAGCCATAGAATAACTTATAGCCATAGACTAACTTATTGCCATAGACTAATTTATAGCCATATACCAGCTTAAAAGCCATCTACTCACTTATAGCCATAGAATCGATTTTGGTATCAATAGCTATAAAACATTCTATGTTCCTCTAAAAATACATGTATCAGCAAATCCCTTTCATTATTAACTCATCAAATATATTTATTGAAACACCCCCTCAGTAGCTCATAATTGTGTTCCTCTGAAAGCAGCAGTTTAGTATAAACTCAGGGTAATAAGGGCAGAGACTGCAATCAGGTTAGCACAATAGGAAATTAGTAGACAAAGTAAGGTTAAACCTGAAAAAAGGAACGCAACAAAACAACAAACGTGTCCCAAAATTTAAAAAATAGCACTTAGCTGAGAAGTAGTATCCAAGAGAGCAGCACACAAAAAAATAAAAAATTAATAAAACATTATTTTTTTGAGAAAGTTTTGAAAAAGACTTAAATTGGTGCAGAGTATGCTAATTGTTTTATCTTCGGTCCATAAAAAATTAAGAAAACAAAATTTGAAGACCTTATTAGCTTTGTTAAATTCTAAATGAATTAAAGCTCAAATTTGATGAGAGTCTTTTAAAGTTAATGTACTTAAATTTAAAGCTAATACACAGTTAAAGATTCTCATACGGAAAGAAACAATTTGGCCATCTTAATTTGGCCATCTCATTTCTGTTTACATTGTGTTTTTTTTTTTTAAAATGTTTGACATTTTGTTGTCTATAATCTAACCAAAAGTATTCCAACAATGTTCTCGCAGAATGGCTTTGCCAGTAACAAACAACCCCAGTCAAGCATGAGTCCTTCAGTGCTGTACAATGCTGAACACCCCTGTAACCACAGGCTCATCATCGGGGGATCAGGGGGGATGAAGATCACCACAGGTAATTCAAGTCATCCAAATCAGGAATGAGTAGAGCTAGGTATTGGGCAGCCTGAATCGAAAGACATGACAATAAGGGAAGAATGTTTTGTCTAAGAGCCTTCCTCTGCAGACGGACAAATGAAAATACGACAGGACATAAAAACTAATTAAAAAACTAAAATGTTTGCCATTGTTATTGCTGGAAGTTGGATTTTCCAAAACCAAGATGACAGGAAGTAGAAGAAAGAATGTACTATTACTTTGAAAAATAAGATCTTAACAAACAAAAATATTTTTGAGATACGTATAATAGAAGAAAAGAAACAAAATATTTTTTTGTCCAGTCTTTCTTTTACAAGCTTCCACATACCTTGTTCTACCATTTCCTTCACACAGCTTGAACTCAGTCCTTCATTTATTATCACACAAATCACAATGTGAGCAACTTAAAAATGGATCATGGTTGGGGAATCTGTTGGGGATGAAGATCACTACAGGTAACTCGAGTCACACAAATCAGCCAATAAGTACCCTGTAACTACAGACTTATCATGGGGGGGGGGGGGGGAAATGAAAATCACTTCAGGTAACCTTAATCACACTAAACACTGTACGTGACCCACAAGGAACCACTTTCAGAATTTGATCCTTTTGTGTTCTTTTATTTTTATATCAAGTGTGAGGACGTCATGAAATCATTCATTAACATTATGCAGTTTTTTCATACACATTCATTAAGTATAAGCAGCTTACAATACATAAAATGTATAAGTCATGCAGTTCACTATACATCTAATGTATTAACTCGTGCATTTCACTGTACATATAATGTATGAACTCGTGCAGTTCACTTTACATATAATGTATTAATTCATGAAGTTCACTTTACATCTAATGTATGAACTCGTGCAGTTCACTTTACATATAATGTATTAACTCATTCAGTTCACTGTACATGTAATTTATAATCATTCATTACTTTTATGGTATTTAATCTGCCTCCCCTGGTTGACTCCCTAATCAAATTTTTACTGTACCATCCCGCCTTATCCAGGTGTTTCTGAGTCCATCATCAATGCTGTGGTCTTTAAACAAAATATATCCAGTGCCATCTGCTCACCAAGGGTTCACAATGAGCTTGTGTCAAACACTTTATATGAAGGTAAGATTTGAGTGGTGATGGGTGTCCCCTACAGGATAATAATTTAAAGTCATCCATGATCAAATTTAATGATCCTGAACATTTAAATTATGTATTGATCAATGTCCTATTAAATTCTGGGTATATTTCAGATCTTTTTACTCTTAAGATTTTGGGGTACAATGTACGATTCTGAGTTGTCTTTTGTGATTTTTGACCGAAACCCATCAGAACTATGATTTTAAGAGACCGGTTGAAAATCTATACCTTCCGGTAGTTTTTTTCCATTTAAAATTTTTATTATTTTTAAAAATTAATTAAAGAGTACATTTTCTGTTGTTCGTTTTAAATTGCATTCTACGTCCAGCAGTGAATGGATAGAGAAATACTATTGATGTGGACCATCTATAATTATTTTATGTTTTACTTGAGAGGCAAAAGAGTGGTGTTGATTTAGGAGATTGTGTGTGTAGGGATGGGTCTAAATATTTGATTTATAAAATTAACACCACCACATTTTCATAATGATTAAGGGGGAGTAGTTCGATGGCAGAAAGTACTTGTTGTTGTTGTTGAGCCTTCTCGTCCATGAGGGGCATCCACCGATCATCGTCGGCGTCTGCGGTTCCTCCAAGGGCATAGGCCACCTACGAGAGACCTCCAGGCATCTCTATCCTGGGCCAGCTTCTCCAGGCTCTTCCATTCATGGCCAATTTTCTTGATGTCTGTCTCCAATTCTCGGCGCCAAGTGTTTCTTGGAGGGCCTCTTTTCCGCTTACCCTGTGGGTTCCATTTCAGGGCTTGCTTTGTTGTGTTAGAAGCAGGTTTTCTTAGTGTATGACCAATCCACCTCCACAGCTTCTGGAGAATCTCTTCCTCAATGGGCTTCTGTTTTGTCCGCTGCCACAGTTCCTGGTTGCTGATTTTGTCTGGCCAGTGAATTCTGAGAATCCTTCTTAGACAGTTGTTGATGAAGGACTGGATTCTGGTCAGGTTTACGGCCGTTGTTCTCCATGTCTCGGCTCCATATAGCAGCACAGGTTTTACCATAGCGTTAAAAATCCTTACTTTTAACTTGCTGCCTAAGTTGTTAGAGACCCAAACATTCTTGAGTTGTTGGAAGGCTGCTCTTGCTTTTCCTATCCTTATTTTGACGTCCGCATCTGTACCACCTTGTTTATCTACCATGCTGCCAAGGTAAACAAAACTGTCCACCTCCTCAAGGGCTTCTCCTTCAAGCATAATGGGTGATGTACTGGTGGCATTAACCTTGAGGATTTTACTCTTCCCTTTGTGAATGTTGAGACCCATGCTAGCAGAAGTGGCTGCGACAATGTTTGTTTTCTCCTGCATCTGTTGTTGGGTATGTGCAAGAAGTGCAAGATCATCAGCAAAGTCAAGATCATCCAGTTGATCCCACAAGGTCCATTGGATGCCATTTCTTTTCTGCTGTGTAGATGTTTTCATCACCCAGTCAATGGCTAACAGGAAGAGGAATGGTGACAGCAAGCAACCTTGTCTCACACCAGTCTTCACCTGGAAAGCATCTGTCAACTGCTGGCCATGGATAACTCGGCAGTTTATCCCTTCGTACATGTTTCTGATTATATCAGTAATCTTCTGTGGCACCCCGTAATGCCTTAGCAATCTCCACAGGGTTTGCCTGTCAACACTGTCGAAGGCTTTTTCATAGTCAACAAAGTTGACATAGAGCGGCGAGTTCCACTCTAGTGACTGCTCTAGAATGATGCGCAGTGTCGCTATCTGGTCCGTGCAGGATCTGTTGGTGCGAAAGCCGGCTTGTTCGTCCCGCAACAGAGGGTCTACAGCGTTTTTCATCCTGTTAAGTAGTACACGGTTGAAAACCTTTCCTGGGATGGACAGCAGGGTGATCCCTCTGTAGTTCGAGCAGGAGCTTAAGTCTCCCTTCTTTGGGATCTTGATAAGGTATCCCTCTTTCCAATCGGAAGGAACTTGCTCCTCTTCCCATATCTTCATAAACAGAGGGTGTAGCATTTCCACACTGGTTTCCAGGTCCGCCTTCAGTGCCTCTGCTGGGATGCCATCAGGTCCCGCAGCCTTTCCATTTCTGAGTTGTTTAATGGCCCTGCTAATCTCTTCTTTGGTGGGACTATTACAGTCAATTAGCAGGTCATTATCGGCTGGTTGGATATCTGGTGGATTTCTTGGTTCAGGCCTGTTCAGGAGCTCTTCAAAGTGTTCCTTCCATCTCCCTCTCTGTTGCTCCTCACTTGGTATGGTGTTTCCCATTTTGTCCTTCACTGGTCTCTCTACCTTGCTAAATTTCCCTGACAGCGTCTTAATGGTATCAAACAGTTCCCTCATGTTCCCCTGGTGAGCTGCATCCTCTGCTTCTTTAGCAAGTTTATCAACAAATTCCTTCTTGTCCCTCTTGATGCTTTTCTTAACTTCCTTATTTGCATCTGCATACTCCTTCTGGGACTTGTTTTTCTGTGCTCGGGTGCGGCTGTTATTCACTTCTGATTTCTTTCTTTTCCTTTCTTCTATTTTATTCAGCGTACCTGCTGTCATCCATTCTTTGTGTGCCTTTTTCCTGTTTCCTAGCACTTCTTGACATGTTGACTGGACTGTTTCTTTCATGCTTTGCCACTTTCCTTCGGTGGTTTCATCTTCAAGTATTTCTTGTAGGACTTGGAACTTATTGAATAGTGAGATTCTGAATTCTTCCTTTTTGGCTTGGTCCTTCAGGAGGGAGGTATTATACCGAGTCCTGTATGCTGTTTGCTCGGTATAATGTCTCTTTAGTTTTAATTTCATCCTGGCCACAAGAAGATGATGATCTGAGGCAATATCAGCTCCCCTCTTAACACGTACGTCTTGGAGAGATCGCCTGAATTTTTTACAAATACATACATGGTCTATTTGGTTCATCGTTCTCATGTCCGGAGAGACCCATGTAGCTTTGTGAATCCTCTTGTGCTGGAAAATGCTCCCCCCTATGACCAGGTCAGCTGTGGCACATAGGTCCGCAAACCTCTCACCATTGTCGTTCATCTCGCCTATCCCTTGCTGTCCCATAACCTCTTCGTACCCTGTGTTGCTATTGCCGATCTTGGCATTAAAGTCTCCCATGAGGATGACGATGTTCCTCCGTGGGCGATCCTGGACTATGGTCATTACTCTATTGTAGAATTCTTCTTTGTCTCCTTCATCACTTTCATTAGTTGGTGCGTAGCATTGTATAACATCTAGGTTGATGCTACGTTTCTTTGTTCGAAAGGTTGCTAAAAGAATTCTAGGTCCATGGGCCTCCCATCCAATGAGTGCTCCTTGTGCTGCCCTTGATAGCATCATAGCAACACCCAGGGTATGTGGGGCATTGTCTTCTTCGTGTCCCGAAAATATCACCATCTCTCCTGAGATTAATCTCTTCTGTCCCCATCCAGTCCATCTTGCTTCACTAATTCCGAGAATGGTGAGCTTATAGCTCCTCATCTCAGCGGCTATTTGTGCCGCTTTACCAGCCTCGTACATGGTGCGGACATTCCAAGCGCCAATGACGGTGGTAGTCCTGGTAGAGATGATGGTTGTCGGCTTAATAGCTTCCAGATTTCGGCTTTCACTATTAGGCGTCATATTTTCCTCCTCAAGGAATCCATCCTCTCCCAGGACTGAAATGTCTTTTGTTACTCTTTTCGGTGCTTTTGTAACTATGATTTTTTACATGGCAGGGTTGTTGGCCTTGCGCACAACCACTTGGGGGGTTGCCCCTCACAGCTCAATGGGTAGCTGCCTTTGTTAGGGTTAGGTCCCTAGCCTTTGTGGATCCCTCCACTTCCTACAAGGCAGTAGGGCTGATTTTGGTCCACCCCGGGTATTTTATTTCCCCGGTACCCTCCATATCTGGCGGGCTTTCCCCTATTCGCCGGCTGGGGAGGCGCTCGATAGAAGATCAGCATCTCCCACGAGCGAAAGTACTTACATTTTTTAAAAATTCTACAATAATCTTTGTGAATATAAGAAAGTCCAAAAATAGCATATTTATATCTCGAATGCTGTAAAAATATCACCCAATAATTTGTAGTTTCATAGGAATTATCATCATGATGTGGCCATGTATTTTCGCAAATGAACTCGCTAGCTATACGCAGATAGTACTCAGTAGTAGAGATATTACTGTAATATATAGTAACCAGGTGTTTAACTTGCATGTAATGCATATTGTATGCATGTGAAATTCTAACAAGTACACTTTCCAAATAGCAAATACATAAACAAAATAAAATAAAGGATTGGGTAAAAATAAATATTACATGTATGTAGTTCATGAAGCGCCATCTAGTAACTTCTAACAGTAGCTACTCAAGTGGGTTACTGTTTGAACCATGACTGAAAGTTGTCACCCTTGATTAAAAGTGGAATCAAAAATTCTGAAAATTTTTCAATTTTTCACAACGTCCCTGTGGGGAAGCCGCAACAACCTATCTAAAAAATGTGCAACACCCCTTCCTCCCCCACCCACCTGGGTGGACCAGTAAAAAGACAATTTATTGCGCCCCTTGTCTTTAAGAAGTACATAGGATATTATGGTTAAATTCACTAATGATATTATGCACCTTTCTAAAGACGATTTTGGCACCTGTCACTCTTTGCCCCATTGTCATGGCCCTGCCTGAAGGCAAGGAGCACCCAGGTCTATGCGGCATAAATTCTGGGAACCACTGGCCTCGCCAGTGGTAAAAACCTGTGTCACATTTTCTTTACTGTAACATCATAAACATATAAAGATTATTGGATTTTTTTTTTGGGTGGGGGGTTGAAAGCTCATTGTAACTTACACAAGGTGGGGGTTGACAACAAAATTATGTTTGCAAATAGGGGGGAGAGGGTTAGAAAATTTAAACTTAATTGATATCTTTAGCAGATACACGTCTACACAACAAAGTGACCGCAGTTTGCAGTTAACGTCAGTCATCTACTTTTTACCATCAGTTCCCTTTTTTGATGCCAGCTTAACTGGATTCCAGTGGACACGCGATGAGAGTAGTTATTATATGCATAATGTATACTTTATGCTCATTTATTATTAAGATACCATAGTGTAAGATTTTGAGAGGATGTTGTACTGTTTTGAGTTTGAGGGTCTGATATTTAACTAAGACTGTAGTTAAGTTCATTAGTATTCTCTTTTTGTTTAGAAGGTTTTGGCATATACTTACAATACCATGCTTTTCCCTTTGTTTCAGAGGGCATCAGTAATGAGATTTTAGATGACCTGAGAGCAAAAGGCAACACAATGGAGCTCCTCCCAGTGTCCAGTTCGTCCATGGTGACTGGCATAGAAAAAAGCAATGATGAGATTAGAGCATATGCTGACTACCGCAAGTTTGGCGGTGTAGCGGTATATTGATGCTTATCTAACCTCTTGCCTGATCTCAATGAACTGTGTATATTTATATATAGCGGTATTTAGCTAGTCTGTGAACTTCATGATATTTTTTGTGTATTTGTCTGTTAAGTTGTTCAAACTGATTTTTTGAAGAATTTGATTATGAAAATTTTGTTAATTTTTAAAAACTTTTTTTTAACTCTAACAATAATCATGTAAAAAAAAGAGACTTAACTGCTTACTTAAATATTCCAATAATTGTGATAAAGACAAAGTAAATTTATTATTTTTTCATTTTTATCTCAAGTTTTAATAATAATATTTTAAAGTTTCATTGCACTGTAATTTTAATATTGGGGGGGGGGGGGGAGAAGGAGGGGGGAGTGTTTGATCTTCCTTATGAAATCATTATGAAGTTTGAAATAAAAACGTCATAAGGAAGATCACTCTAAATATTTGGGAGCTATTTATAAACAACTGTAAAGAATGCGAGTTTTTTGTCTGACTGACTTTAATGGAATGATTTATATTAAGGGAATGATTTATATTATGGACCAACCATATATTACATATACACAAAAATGTAAAATATTAGAACCCCTCCCCCGTCTTGGTGCATCAATAGTTTTTTTGCACCCCCTTTATGTGTATTCCAGTGTCCCTAACGCATGGCGTATCCCCCAAAGGAAGGTTATTTCTAGGATATAGGAGGACATATAATAATCTCTGGGAAAATGGCATAGAAAAGGAGTGGTGATGGAGAAGCGGTCTGCCCTGGGCAGTACTTTGAATGCAGGGCAGCATTTTCTACCAATTGCAGAATATTTTGTGATTAGTGGGCGGCTTAAATATTGGCCTGCCGCAGCCAAGGAGGGGGTGGGGCACTAACAAAGCGCTGGGATGTAAGAATTGGATTTGTTTCATAATTTGGTGATGGTGGGTTGTGTAATGTTAAAACATGAATTTTTTAAAAGTTAAAGTTAACCACCTTTCTCGTTTTTCATATCTTGCAATACAAAAATTATTTTTCAGTTAATTATTTTTAGTTTTATCCAACAATTGTGAATCCTAAGGCCAAGAGCGCAGCAGAATTGAAATTTAATCTGCTTTAAGGCAGCAGAGGATGGCTTCTTTTTCTCCACACTAATTGAGTTGAGTGGGGGAGGGGGGTGACATTAAAACATATTAGTGATCAGTTGACCTGTTGACCAGTTGAGGTTCTGGGTGGAAAAAAAGCTTGGGAAGCTTGTTTGAATTTGTTTCAGGGTTCCACCTCCTTTTTTTTCCCCGCCAGTGCAGCTTTTTGATTTAGTCCACACGATAGAGCAACAAATTGCAATAAATAAGAAACAATGGGGTATTTCTTTTAAGAATTTAAAAAATAATTTAACATCATGGCTTTCACATTTTTTAGGTGACATTTGGTTTTATTAGAGATATTAGAGTATCAGAATTTCAATATAATTATTAAATGTACATCCTTTTTGCAGAACCTCAGATTTTTGAAATTTATCTAGACATTGAAGTGCTTGGTGTACAAGTACTTGTTTATATCTCTAAGTACTAGTTTATATCTCTAAGTACTAGTGCCATCACCTTAAAATCTGCTCCATGATTTCTAACTATTTTCAAAGGCTTTAAAAATTTCACAGTAATATTTATCAAACCATTGCTTTGTGTTTTTATTTGCTATATACATTAATGTGTCAAACAGCCAGCTGCCATTTGCAAACAAAGGAAGAAAACCTGTAATTAAATTTTTAACACAGTTTACATTGGCTCTTTATAATTGCCTTGCACTGCTGTACTCTAGGTCATAATTACATTTGTACTTTTAATGTCAGTGGTTCAGTGGATGGGGCGGAGGAGGGGGTGGTTTAAGGTAATAATTTATATGTATTCACAGGGGAAAGGGGTCCCAAAATTTATGGTTGTATTGGGGGAGGGGAAAGGAAAAAAAGTCTTTTTTTTTGTTTTTTTTTTGAGGACGTATTATACAGATGATGGCCCATAAGTCATGGATTTTGCATTACATGGTATGAAATAGCATTTTAATGAATGGGTGAATCCAGTAGTTTTTCTCAAAGTGGAGACTGGCTACATCTAGGAAGATCAATAAACAAGAAATATATTGGCTACCGGTCCCATGCTGAAATGTGAACAATACACTGATGTTCCATCACACTGAAAAGTTTGAGAAGCACTGGATAGTATTTTAATTTTGACATTTGTGTTACTATTATTTTACTATTGTTCTGGGTGATAACTTATCCTTGAAATATATACAAACATCGTTAGATTTAATAAATATATTTGTAACTTATATTTAAAGAAAAATTTTAACCTTTTTTCTCCACATAATTTTTTGTGTGTGACTTTCTGTGGCTTTGGCCTTGTAAAATTCTCTTCATGTAGTGCAATAAATGGTGATACGTTTTGTGCTCATTCTTCACTTTGTAGTTAGCCGGCTGTGAATATTTTCAAATATTCTATTGCTTGAGTAATCCAAATTTCTGTTTTTAGTTTTAGAAGCTCTAAAATTGCATTATAAGATATAAATTAACAATTTTTATATTTATCTTTGCTGTTTGTATTATTCAGACTAGAAGGAGACTCTATTCCAACTATGACAGTTTATGATTTTTTGGGGGATGTTTTTTTTTTTTTTAAATTCAGGTTGGACCTGCACAGGAACTGATACCTAGCTGGGCTGAGTAGTCATAAGCTATGAATGGACTAAATTCATCCCAGACAAATATTGAGCCAGCTAAGTCCTGACCAGGAGACATGTATCAAAGAGATTCCTAGCTGGGCTGACAAGTCTAGTCCATTCATACCTACTGATGGCCCCAGACAAATATTGAGCCAGCTACGTCCTGACCAGGAGACATGTACAGACCTGTTTACACTCAAACTCTTAAAATCGTACAATATCATCACAAAATCGTTCAATACCTTATCTTAATAGTAAAAAATAAACATGTAGTATATATAATTTATAACCTCAAAATCGTACATTGTACGCCAAAATCGTAAGAGTAAACAGGTCTGCATNCGTACAATATCATCACAAAATCGTTCAATACCTTATCTTAATAGTAAAAAATAAACATGTAGTATATATAATTTATAACCTCAAAATCGTACATTGTACGCCAAAATCGTAAGAGTAAACAGGTCTGCATGTATCAAAGAGATTCCTAGGTGGGCTGACAAGTCTAGTCCATTCATACCTACTGATGGCCCCAGACAAATATTGAGCCAGCTACGTCCTGACCAGGAGACATGTATCAAAGAAATTCCTAGGTGGGCTGACCAGTCTAGTCCATTCATACCTACTGATGGCCCCAGACAAACATTGAGACAGCTACATCCTGACCAGGAGACATGTATCAAAGAGATTCCTAGGTGGGCTGACAAGTCTAGTCCATTCATACCTACTGATGGCCCCAGACAAATATTGAGCCAGCTACGTCCTGACCAGGAGACATGTATCAAAGAGATTCCTAGCTGGGCTGACAAGTCTAGTCCATTCATACCTACTGATGGCCCCAGACAAACATTGAGCCAGCTATGTCCTGACCAGTAGACATGTATCAAAGAGATGCCTAGCTGGGCTGACAAGTCTAGTCCATTCTTACCTTATGTCACTTATGATGGGTCCAGACAAACATTGAGCTAGCTACATCCTGACCAGGAGACATGTATCAAAGACTTGGTTCAAATATAACTTCTAAACTAACAGGTCCCCCAATAAATTTCCAACTGATGAGCAAAATGATTGAAGTTGAAGCTTAATTAATTTTCACCTGAATTTTTAGTTTACTGGTGCGCAACCTTCCAGAATAAACCCTTATGGTCTCATGTGTCATTTAAAGAATAGGCATCTCTGGGTCTTACATTTTATTTATAATTAGATACAATATTTTTTTTTTTTTTAATTCAGCCACCTTTGCCTTGCCTGGCTTCTGACCTTTACTTTAACATTTCCTTACACACAATACATCTGACAATTCAATTGTAGCGGCAATCATTGTCACAGTAATGTTACATTTTATGTGATGTTGGTGAACTTCACCACCACTCATTTATACTTTAGTCATTAGTGAAGCTGTGTGTTAAATTACACAATGAACAAGTAGTGGGCTTTTCTCACAGTCCTACCAAAAACTATGAACTGTAAAATTTTAAGAACTTCATAATTTTTTTTGGTACTTCAGGGACAACTGTTAACATTGATGTCAGTCCTTGACCCTATCAGTGTCCTTCAGTAAAGGTCGAGGCTAATGAGATTTTAAAAATAAAAATAATGTTATCATATTTGTATTATTTTCTGCAGTTGATGTATTTAATAATTGAACTATTTTCATGTTCAGTTAAAGACTATTTTAATATTACTGTAAATATTAATTGCTTTTTGTGTTTTTGGGATCAATGGATAGTAATTATAAATAGTTCCTGTGTGAAACAAAAATAAAATTCTTATGAATTTTTAAATTGCTGTCTAAGTCAATTGTTGTGCTGACACTGTTTGTAAATTGGATATTTCCTTAAAGTTGCACATGTGTAGTGCTGTTCTCTGTACTCACATGCACTTCTGGAAGAGGAAAAAATAAAAAGTTAACAGGTTTTTTTATATTAAATAAAAGCCCAAAGCTTAATTGTACACTTTTGAAAGTAAGTTTAATAATCCTGGAAAGTAAGGTTGATATTTGTAGAAAGTAAGGCTGATATTTGACTCATCAGCTCAAAAGGGGGCGTTTGATTAAACATTTCACCCATGAAACTATACACTGCACAAATTATACTCGAGTATGATTTTCTATTAAATGGGGCACAAATATTTCTAATAGCCGAACTGTGTTGCAATGGCGGAGTTAGTTTGGGGCAGTTGTTATGGGTTGTTTGGTTGTTTGTTTTGTTTTGAAGTGGGGGGTGGGGGAGGTGAGATGATAGGGTTTGCTTGGGGGAGCTGTGGTAGTGATTCCCCATTATATTTCCAAGTTAATATTAGAAGAATGAAAATTCTCTATTTATCTTAGCCTAAAAATGGCTACCTATGCTTTAAGCACACAAATCATAACAATGCAGATCTTTAGACTTTAAACGAATGGTAATTAAAAATATGTATTAATTGCCTTTCTGACCAATCGCAGATATATGCCACCACAGTAAGTTTGAAAATACATGTTTTATTGCGGCACACGTGTACGGTTTTTATTGCTATTAAGCATCATCTGGAGATTTAATTAGTCTTGAGCTAGGTGCTTTGTATGTATGAGATCTTCTTTTGTCAGCCTTCAGCTAAGAGGTGCTTTGTGTGAGATCTTCTTTTGTCAGCCTTCAGCTTATAGGTGCTTTGTATGTATGAGATCTTCTTTTGTCAGCCTTCAGCTAATAGGTGCTTTGTGTGAGATCTTCTTTTGTCAGCCTTCAGCTAATAGGTGCTTTGTATGTATGAGATCTTCTTTTGTCAGCCTTCAGCTAATAGGTGCATTGTACTGATGAGATCTTCTTTTGTCAGCCTTCAGCTGATGCATTGTACGGATGAGATCTTCATTTGTCAGCCTTCAGCTGATAGGTGCATTGTACTGATGAGATCTTCTTTTGTCAACTCCCCAAAAAACAAGTAATTTTAGTGAGAGGGGCATCAATGACTTGATACAAAGTCTGGCAAACCTGATCATTAGCTAAAGACAAGTCTGTCATTATAAGTTGTAGCCAATGAATATCGTTTCCGATGAAACAGGCAAGCTCTTCTTTTAGGGGTGGTCAGGGATAATTGCAGGGTCACTGTGTGTTTTTTAGAATTTACCTCTCAAACATGTAGTCATCCCACCCTCTCACATCCCACCCCCTCCCCCCCCCTAAAAAAAAGCATTCGCAAAACAGGGACCAAGTAAACTCATCGTGAAAAGTTAAAGTTGACATTTTTTTAAAGGTAAATTGAACAGTTGTGTAACGTCAAGGCATCAGGTAAGACGCCAGCTTGCTGTTGATTTTCAATCTGTTTGTTGTTTTATTTTGTTTGGCATCGGTGACGTATTTACATTGTATAATTAGTCAAAGATTAGGGTTAAAATTGCAAATAAAGTTAAGCATAGCAAGCCTCCCCAGCCTACCGCCTCCCCAGCCTACCGCCTCCCCAGCCTACCGCCTCCCCCGCGAATCGCCCCCCCCCTTTACGCATTGTCTCCTCTGCACTCCGCCTCCCCTGCCCATTGCCTCCCTACCAACCGCCTACCCTTCCCAACGCCTCCCTGCCTACCGCCTTTTCTTCCCACCACTTCCCCTGCCCACCGCCTCTCCTGCCTATTGCCACCCCTTCCTCCGGCCTCCCCTGCCAACCACCTCTCCTGCCTATCACCACCCCTTCCCACCACCTCTCCTGCCTCTCGACTCCCCTGCCCACCGCCTCTCCTACCTATCGCCTCCCCTTCCCCCGGCTTCCCCTGCCTAACGCCTCCCCTGCCCACCACCTCTCCTGCCTATCGCCTCCCCTGCCCACCGCTTCTCCTGCCTCTCACCACCCCTGCCTACCGCCACTTCTTCCCATGACCTCCCCTGCCCACCGCCTCTCCTGCCTATCGCCACCCCTTCCCCCGGCCTCCCCTTCCCACCACTTCAGCTGCCTATTGCCATCCCCGCGCACGGCCTCCCCTTCCCCCCAGCCTCCCCTGTCCACCGCCTCTCCTTCCTATCGCCTCCCCTGCCCACCGCTGCCTATCGCCTCCTCTTCCCTCGGCCTCCCCTTCCCCCGGCCTCCCCTGTCCACCGCCTCTCCTGCCT